TTGTAAAATAGTCAAGCTGTTTATCAGAATTCTCCGTATAAATAAACATGGTTGAACTATTATAGTGAAGCCTCTTGTAAAATAGTGGTGCTGCATCAAATGACACCCAGTGTTTTGGAGTATATGCATCGGGCACATCTACTATAGAGGGAGCCTTACACATTTTTGAAAACTAGAGTCATACAATGAATCTTTAGACCAGTCAAAGATGCAAACAGCTGGGAATAGAGAGTAAGAAGCAGCAACAAAATTCATAATCTGTTTAAATCACTACTGATCATCATCATCATGAGGGCTAATATACTGAAATGGCTGGACATACTGAGAGAATGTCAGATGGCAGAGAGGTAAAGAAGAAAAAAAAAATGACCAGCAATGGATGATGGTCTTGTCCTGTTGTAATAATTAAATATGTTTTTGATTTAGCCTGTTTGAGAGCTTAAAGGTTGATAATCTTTTCCATGTATAGTTTTCTTGGTATTCTGTGATAAAGCAATCACAGCTCTGACTGTGTGAAATTAACTCAGTGGTTTGTGTGCCAAGAACCCAGAGAATTCAGAGACTCAGATATGATAATAAATAAACTATCTCATAAAATCATCTTCATTTGAAAAACATATCTTCTTCTTCTACTTTTGCATCTCAAATGGGGTTGGCAAGTTTTGCTGCTGCAATGTCTGCATCTTTCTGACCAAAACATGGGCAAACTCCTAAATAGTTGCTTTTTTCTGACATGCTTGTTAAGTAGCAGTGGACCTCCCCCCCACCCACCCTCCATGGGTCCCGTGAAACCATGCATGGGGAGAAGAATACATATGATTCACACAGCTGGTGTATAATGAAAAAACATCAATACGTTTATGCTGTATCATTGGTACAGTAACTAATACTAGACCTACTCAAGATGCAGGCATGTCAAACATAAAAATGTGCACATATCAACCAAACTTGTCAAACACCAGAAGTGTAGCACAAACAACCATTTCAGTAATATAAAATAGTCACAGATTTGCACACTAATAAATATATAACACTACAAAGCGTAAAACCCAGGTTGACCCAGCCTAAAAAGTACCAGGAAATTTCTTGAGAAGCAAAGGTGGCTAGCATGAGGTGCCAACAGTTTAGCATTATATACCAGATGCACAACTGGCATAAAAGAGTCTTTTCCTTTCTTTTTTCCTGAATTGTTTTTAAACAGTGCGCATATGGTCACACATTTTATTTCCCTGCGATTATCTTTTCAGTAACTTGGGTTCCCAGCCAAAAAGCATAACACGTGTACCCAAAACTTTCATGGGAAGTAAAGGGAGCCAGTATGACAAATACCATATCTCTAATCGTAAGCTGATTTGTTTGAAAATAGCATCATATGCTGAATAATTCCATGGTGTAAAACAAAAATGAAAAACATAAAATCATTAAGTAAATATAACCAGAATGCAGACCTCTGCTAAAAAAAATACTGAATAAATATGTGCTCATACGAGGAAAATTAAGTAATTCTAATATATATATATTATTATTATTATTATTATTATTATTATTATTATTATTATACATATACATATATATATATATGAATGCAGCCCCAGTGTAAAAAAGATAAAACATGCATTAATGTCTCAATATTTAAAAAAAAAGTGTTAAAAAAATTTAGTATATGCACATTTTGTAAATTACAAATGTGAATTTTGTAAATTACAAATATAGAAAAAAAATAACTACTTTTTGAAAATATTAACAAAACAAAAATATAATATAAAAGCAATCTATAAGCATAAAAAAATGTATAAATATAACTGCAAATTGGTAAATATTCCCAAAAATTATTCATGTGAAAACAATGTGTAAATAATCAACAAACAAAATATAAATATGAAAATAATGTATAATTACTCAAATATAATATTACAATGTGTAAATGTTAAAAGTATAAATGTAAAAAAAAAAAAAAAACTATAAATACCCCCCCCCCCCTCCCCCCGAATTAAAATTCTCACCTGTGTAAATTTTAAAAATATATAAATTTAAAAAACAATGTAAAAATACCAACAAATGAATAATGTATTGTGTAAATTTGAAAACTATATAAAAGTAAAAAAAAAAATATGACTTCAATGGGTAAAACTTTAACCATAAATGTTTAAGAAAAACAAAATTCAAAACAATGTATAAATTCCGCTAAAATTGAAAATTATAAAGAATTTGTTTTTAATTTCTTGCAAATGAATAAATGTAATTAAATTACTCAGTGTATAATAGCAAACAAACTTATAAAACATTACTAGAAAATGTTTTTTTTAAGGGAATGTGAAAATTATGGGCATTTTAATAGAAAACTAACAATAATTGAAAGAATGAGGAGCTTTTTGAAAACACATACCTGGATGCCATCTACAATCCCCTCTGCTAGGTGGGAACAACACTTGATAAATACAAAGTGTGAAGAAAACACACACACGCACACACGCACGCACGCACGCACACACACACACACACACACACACACACACACACACACACACACACACAGAGAGCAAAAGCTTAGCAAGATGTTGAGAAGGGACAAGCAGAAACTTGGGTGGCTACATTTGGAGTAAACATTAGAAATATATCAAGCAAAATGCGTACAGCTTAGGTGAGTGAGACAGCTGTTCTGGCAAGAAAACACAGGAAATTATCACATGAAAGGAAGTTGATTGGGGGAGGGGGTGGGGGTGATGATGCGATGGCACAATGGAAGAAGAGTAGAGCACAGTAGAGGGGTTGAAAAAAAAAGTGCATGCAATATGCACTGACATTACTACCATACTTCTCTCAAAATAAGACTTACCACAAAAATAAGAACTGGCAGGATTTTTTTTTCAGGGTGCTTTTAATATAAGCCCTAACCCAACAGTAAGCCCTGGCTAGAATCATCAGCTGGAATGAGAGTCTTGCTGATGAATGGCCAGTGAGAGTGCAGACATCACTGGTGCGCAGTGATAACGATCTTAACAATGGTTCTACAGGAAATGGAGCCACAAGAAATTCAGGCCAGAATTTGGGATTTGGAGAGTTATGATGATGTTCCAGAAAAAGATCACATGACTGTGTTTGAAATAATGTAGAATTTTAAACATTAAATAAATGTAGATTTTTTGAAAAATCTAAAAACAAAGTAAGATACCCCCCTGAAAACAGGTCCTAGTGCATTTTGTAAGGAACTATTAATATAAGACCCGGTCTTATTTTCAGGGAAACAGTATACACAAATAAGAATGAAGTACAGGATGGCTGGGTAGTGTGGTGAATCATGGCTAGCTGTCAGAAGTGGGAGAAGAGAAAGAAGGATGGCTGAGTAGTGTGGTGACTTCAATCACAATCACGGCTAGCTGTTAGAAGTGGGAGAAGAGAAAGTAGGATGGCTGAGCTGAGTGGTGTGGTGACTTCAGTCACAATCATGGCTAGCTGTTAGAAGTGGGAGAAGAGGAAGAAGGATGACTGAGTGGTGTGGTGACTTTAGTGACAATCATGGCTTGTTGTTGTAAGTAGGAGAAGAGGAAGAAAAGAAAGAAGGATGGCTGGGTGGTGTGGTGACTTTAGTCACAATCATGGCTAGCTGTTGGAACTTGGAAAAGTGGGAGAAAAGAAAGAAGGATGGCTGAGTGGTGTGGTGACTTTAGTCACAATCATGGCTAGCTGTTAGAACTTGGAAAAGTGGGAGAAGAGAATGAAGGATGGTTGAGTGGTGTGGTGACTTTAGTCACAATCATGGCTAGCTGTCAGAAGTAGGAGAATAGAAAGAAGGATGGCTGAGTGGTGTGGTGACTTTAGTCACAATCATGGCTAGCTGTTAGAACTTGGAAAAGTGGGAGAAGAGGAAGAAAGATGGCTGAGTGGTGTGGTGACTTTAGTCACAATCATGGCTAGCTGTCAGAAGTAGGAGAACAGAAAGAAGGATGGCTGAGTGGTGTGGTGACTTTAGTCACAATCATGGCTAGCTGTCAGAAGTAGGAGAACAGAAAGAAGGATGGCTGAGTGGTGTGGTGACTTTAGTTACAATCATGGCTAGCTGTTAGAACTTGGAAAAGTGGGAGAAGAGGAAGAAGGATGGCTGAGTGGTGTGGTGACTTTAGTCACAATCATGGCTAGCTGTCAGAAGTAGGAGAACAGAAAGAAGAATGGCTGAGTGGTGTGGTGACTTTAGTTACAATCATGGCTAGCTGTAAGAACTTGGAAAAGTAGGAGAACAGAAAGAAGGATGGCTGAGTGGTGTGGTGACTTTAGTCACAATCATGGCTAGCTGTCAGAAGTAGGAGAACAGAAAGAAGGATGGCTGAGTGGTGTGGTGACTTTAGTTACAATCATGGCTAGCTGTTGGAACTTGGAAAAGTGGGAGAAGAGAAAGAAGTTAGGCTGAGTGGTGTGGTGACTGCAGTCCAGTGTGGGTAAGAATGAATAATCAATTTTATTTTTACCCTACATTTTCCTTGTTTATCTTTTCCTTTGGGATAGCAGCCTGAAATACTGTGAGATGCAGTGACTGAAACAGCCACATTTCTAATGCGATTGCAGCAGGAGTAAGTCTTTTTTACCCCGTTCGACTACATACAACTATTATATTGGACCATCCTATACATGAAATAACCTATTGGTTGGATACTGCTTCAGATGCACCAGTGTTATATTATATTGCTTGTATTATTCTACACACTGTCGTAGTTCTACTGACTAAATGACTGAAGTTCAACCCCACCAGGACAGCACAACAAGCTATCAAAATCCAGTGACACAAAGTGCCACCATTCGGATGAGGATCACCCAGGCACAAGACCCTGAAGTCCCATTCAAGCCGTAGGTCATATTTAAGGCCCCCGATCACACCTGGAATGGAGCATGAGAATAAAAACAAAAACTACATCCCATATTGAAATGGAGATTATAGTCCTAGTGCGTAAAGCAGATCCTGTTTAACCGTACAACTATAATTAACAAATGATGTCACATCAACAAACCTGATAGCTGTCCCCACCAAAGCTAGATGGTTGTCTGGAGAAGCTGCTGTGGGTGGACTCCTCAAGCTCATCAGGGATTGGCGGTAACAAAGTTGGGTTAAAATATATGATGTCATCCTAAAAATTAGTGAGATACACATACAGAATGCTTTATAATAGGGGAAAGAAGCAGTGACAAGGAAAGCCATCGAGTTGTTTCCCTTGTAAATACATTGCATGCAAAGTTGTGTGTTTGTGAAAGCAAAAAGTATAGCACAAATTTGTACTCTTTCAGTCCCAGATGTACTTGGAAGAAACAATCACTATGAAAACATCCAAGTAAATGACTTTCAACACGACTGTTGAATAAATTATGGAGTAGTCAGATTTTTTTTAGTATGCTAGGACCAAATACCAAAAAGTAAGTAAGTCCTCACCCCAGGAGGACATCACACAGAGCGATTAACACCCAGTGACACAATGTGCCACCATTGGAAGAAGGATCGCCCGAGGAGAGGTCCCAGAAACCCTGTTCAACAATTAGGGTATATTAGGGCCCCCTGTAACAGCAAGGGTAGGACTTCAAAATAACGAAAAATTGCATCCCACATGGGGGATGACAAATAATACAAAGGGACATCAAAAACAACAAATATTTACTGGAATCTTGAAAGTGCTGAGGTGTAGATAAAATACAAAAATCGAAACATACAGACTCACACCATTTCAATTAATATTTAAAAATATCAAACATGAAAACAACACTTGTATATACTAGGTGGGATATCATCACACAGAAACCACTTTGTCTTGCCGGAAGCTTACTTTAAACTTTTCTTTATTTTTGTTTTTGTGGTAAACATTTTGTTGATGTAATCTTGCATGCAAATAAAGCAACTGGACTGCCATTGTATATCATGATTTAGAATTACAATTATTTATGCAGCACATCCTCAAACAGTGTTTTAATAGGGAATAAAACAATGAACTGCATTTTATTTTATGAAATTATCTTTGATTTTGATTGATAATTCAATTTCTTTATTTTTACTGTCTCTAAATGTGTAACACCATCTCACAGCAGAAATACTATAGAAACAACATCAATCATGACAAACTGACAACCAGAATTATAATGCAACATTTAATGAAAGATTTTCTGAGATCTGATTATTTTTTTAAAAAGTTCTGAAATATGGTTCCCACTGGCTGATTACTAAACCTACATTCATTCAATGTAAACCATCTGATTTGTTATGTTTGGCCAGTAGGCCAGTATTAAAGAGAAAATAATGGCTATACTTAGTTATTAATAAAATAATATGTCTCTTAGATATATCTTCATAGCGAGACTCAAAATGTCTCATTGCTACTTAATGCATTTCCATCAAAGATCATCAAGATTAATAAAACATCAGTAACACACAAATACATGGTCACTGGAAATGACCAGATTCAACCAGCCATTTCATGGCTTTTGTGTGGCGAAGATATTAAATATTGCTATCTGAAATTGGCAAATGGTTTTTTTTGATGAAGTATGGTTAAGTACATCTATTATTTAATTTTTAATGTCAGTGAAGATGCCATATTTAACGGAAATATGGTTCCATTTTCATATATTCTGAAAATATACATAGCTTAAAAAATGTACTGAACTATCGCTGGGCTGTTACAACTCTCTAAGCAGAGCACTAAGTACCTTTATAGGAAAATACATTTATTTAATATCTTTTTTTTTTTTTTAAATACAAGTAATCATTACACACATCTTTAAATTAAATGAAGCTGTTAAAATGTAACGTGAGCAGAAATAATTACATGATTTTTCCAGCGACAATAAGATTCCCAAAGTTACTTTTGGATACATAATATGCAGCGGATATTTTTATGGCCACAGAGGTTTCAGCAAATGGGAACCATTGTACATAAACAGATTGGTGTAGTCAGAACACTCACATTTTTAACTGGTGTTGTTGTATCTGCTTGAGGATCCCATTCCAGGTCTCCCTCTCCATGGCTTCTCCCAACTACTACTGGAGAACCTAGACACAGAAAACAATTCAGTAAGTCAGAAGAAGGAATTTTAACTTCATAAAGATCAAATGTATGCATCTTTCACATTAAAATTAGCGAAAACAACACTATTGGATCAATAGTATAGTATCTAAAATCTATAAGAACATTGATGGATAATATTGTATTCAATACATGGAACACGCAACATCAGCTTTTAAAAGCTTGAACAAGATATAGGACTCTTTAATAGTATTGAAACCAAGTTACACGTTTCAGTTTTAACATATGCCAATTAAAATTGTTAGAGTATGCATCTTCCCCGTAGCAACATACAGATGTGAGTCATGGAATATCTCCAAGTCCTCAAGGAACAAACCATGTACTAAATTGGTTACAACCCAGCGGCCCAATTTTGAATGGTATTACCTGTTCTTTGTGTTTGCTGTAACACATGGTGACCATTCAGGATATTCAAAAACATTGTAAGGCATAAAATGTAGCCCATTCGTTAGCTTTACAGAGTTACTAAGTGTCTCTGTGAAAACAATATGGCCTCTGAGCAGATTTCTTCATGTATACCAGCAAGCCTCATATTTAAATAAAAGTGCTTATCAGATTGACCCAAAGCTAAAAAAAAAAAAAATTACAAAGTAGATATGTTTCAGTCATTGATAGAGAGACTTTGATTAGCAATAGCTCTGATATATAAAGTCTAGAACGATAACAAAGTGAGATGATACAAAGTGAATAAATATTTATGGAAAAGGCAATATTCTCCAGTGTCAGTTAGATATAGTATGATTCCCTTATTATTTGGTAATATAGCCTGTAAAATTACAGGCAAACTGAGTTTAAAAAGTTTGTTTTTTGTGAAAACAGTAACAGTTTTCAGTAGTAATTTTTCTTTACAAAAGAAAAAAAGGTTTACTTTTGTGATGTTATTGAAGTTTCTCTGGAACGAGATCTAATGGACAGGTTTTGTTTATATTTTATGTATACACTAACTGTACCCGGCCACATGTTGCTGTAGCCCAGTCTGGCTAAATGGAAAAGAAAGAAATAGAAAGCACTCATGTCTAATATGGTTAATTTCACAATCATTGTCTGCCCAGATATAGAGATAATCTGGTTTGCCGACTGTAGAACACGCAACATATAATTGTGTCCTTATATTAGTGGTTGTGTAAAGTCTATTATTAAGGCTTTTAAAAAAACTGTTTTTTGTTTATCACATGCAAAAGCTTTTTGTAATTTTTAAAGAGCTCAAAGTAACATTTAATACTGTACATCTGAAATACCAACAAATTCGCAAAAAAAAAAAAAAAAAAAAAAAAAAAAAAAAAAAAAAAAATAGCTGAGTTAGCGTTATTAAAATACGAGTTGAGTTGAGTCCAGAATTGACATCACAGCACTCAGGGTATTCCTATGCATGCTTCGTTCCAAGTTCCAATGCCGATAGTAATGGTCGCAATCTGGTAATATGTCCATCTTGCCTTTCCTCCGAGTTACACCCAGGTGCCTCATTCTCTTCAGGCATAATAATCTTGGTTCGCTTCTGACTCCCTTGCATTTTCTCAAAGGGCCCTGACCACATCTGCCCTGTCATGCATCAGTTCACCACCCAGTGGTGCAGATGCAGCCAATTTGTCTGCCTGTTCATTCCCCATAACGCCGGTATGCCCTGGACAAAAGATCCAAAGTATGATCACTACCTGTGACCTTCCCAGTGAAGCTTGCCACTCCGCTCGAAGCATCCCTGTCTTCACCTTTCTCAGCATGCTTTCAAAATCTGTTACAATTATGACATGTGTATGCATCTTGTTCTCTAGCCACCAGAAAGCTGCAGTTACTGCCTCCACCTCCATTCTCATGCTAGATGTTGTCGTAACATGTGCTACTCTGTCCTGCACTAAAGATTTTACTGGCTTTCACTAAGAGCCCCCATGCACTTCTCTTCCCTCTCACCACCGAATCATCTGAATAGATAATCAGATAATCCTGGTGAGAATTGTTGTGAACCAAATGTTGGACTTCCACCTCCGTAGCACCCGCTGGCCACTCTCTGCACTCCCAGTCCAATGTGATCACAACCCTACACAGGTCAGACTTTTCTTCTGGTACTTTGACCAACTCCACTCCTTGACCAATGTTCTCCAGCTTGCATACTTGATTTATTGTGTCTTCTGCTTGAACCATCTAAGATTTTTTCCCTTTTCAGCCTCTGACCCTTACGTAAAGCCAAAGCTTCATACAGAGAGTGTTCTTTGTCTGCAACTACTCTGAGGTATTATTTAACATGCAGAACCTTTAGCCTATCTGCAATAGTCGACAATGCAAGGATGTATATATTAAAATATGAATAATTAAAAAATCAAAACTTTAAAATCATGTTTTAAGTATCAGTTAACAGTTTCTTTCATACCCCCCCCCCCCCCCCCCCCCCCCAACCCCAACCACCACCGATTACTCCTATCGCTCTCTCCAAAGGAGGTGAAATTCATCACCTGACAATATATTTTTTTAAATTGATCTTGGCATTCATGTCCACCCAGATCTTGGCCATATCAAGCAATGCTTTTAAAACCAAGCTGGATGATTTTCAAACCACCTTCGACATTTTCCAAATTAGACTGGGTATTTTTCAGACTAAGGGTGTTTTTAAAATCAAATTGGACAAATTGTTCAAAGCTCAAGAGTAATTAATTTATTACTACATTGCCAACCTTTTTGTTGTTCATGTCCAAAAGTGTTAGTGGAGTAGTAACATTTGAAACACTTTCGCCATTTTCTTTGTCAATGATTACTTCTACAGGTACCTTTGTAGATGCCATCATCTTCAATGATCACACCACATTAAAAAAAACTTTGACAAATGCACTTTGAATCATTTTTATTTAGTTAGGCATTTTAACTTGTGTTTTAGGGTCATAACTTCATATTTTGTAAACAGGATGTATGGTTATAAGATGACTCATAAGAGCATGTTGAGTAACACCTGCCTCTGATTATATAGTTCTATCAACTACAAAAGTGAACATATCTAACCCTATTATCCTATATAATCCTATCAGTGACACAAAGTGAACACACCTAATCCTTAGGTGTCGAACGATCCTTTCACAGGGGTTGCCTAAGACCATCGGAAAACACATATTCATTGAAGTTATGAAGTGGCTATGAAGATAATATTATGGCTGGGGGTCAGCAAAACATGAGAAACTGTTTTATGGGTTGTGGCATTAGGAAAGTTGAGAACCACTGTCCTAGAGGATGTCATGAAGTGAACATATTGTATCCTGTCAGTGTCATGAAGGGACATATCTTATAGTTAAATAAACCAACAGACTCTGGACTTAGTGCACTACTCAGATTGTTGTAACAGCTTGGTGATAGTTCCATTTATATTTATTCAGTTTCAGAATAATTTACAGTAGGAAGAATATATTCTTAAATCTGGCATCTTCAGTGACATTAAAAATTAAATAATACATTTTATGAATTTGAATATAACAACTGAAGTATGTAAAGTTAAAAGAAAGTAAGAACAAATAGTGGATAGACAGACAGACACAGACACAGAAGCATAATTACTTCTCAGCTGAATCACAATAAACGTGTTGATTTAATGAATCCACCAAACCATGACGAAAATAAAACCATGTGGATGATAAAATAACTGACCATTAGAAAGAGGCAGTTGTCGTCTCTCCAGTTCTTCAAGTACTTCAGAGATAGAGGAGGCTGGCCTTTGTTTCCGGGCATTGTAAATGGGGTTGATGTAATCTTTTTCATCATCCAACACAGGCTACAGAAATGTATAAGTACAACAGAAAATAAATTGAAATAAAACACTGAACATTCCTGGTAACATGTAATAACTAAATATAAAACAAACTATGACTAGAAATTGGAAAGGATAAGATGCACACAGATATAATGAAACGTTTCAGCCAGAGTCTTTATCAGTGTATGAAACAATAGACTGAACAAACAACCAGTAAAGTTGGCAAGGAACTGAACTGGGAATATAGAGAACATGAGAAAATATGGCCAGGAAGAACTGTTAAAACAAAACATCCACAAATAAAAAGAAAAAAGAGTCGGACAATTAAATGAAAAAAAAAATTTAAAATTAAATAAAAGTATGCTAAATATTTTTCAATGCAGAGCTAAGATGCTGAAAAATTGAATGATGACATTTTTCAAGGAAAGGTGGCTGGCTTGATCTCCGGAGCAAGATTTTATAGCAGTAACTGAAAAACTATTTACAATGGTGGAAATTGGGTTTCAGAGAGCTGCACTGTGAATAGCCATAATTTGGTCACAGAAATAGTCTGTTAAATTCTTAAATTTATTTATGACTTTTGTATCATTTGAGCAAAATAGGGCATAAATTAGATTGCAAGATTTACAAGTAAATATTTCCATAATCTTGAAAAAAAAAAAAAAGTTCTGAATCACAAAAGAACATGATTACATTTAGTGTAGGAGTATTTCAACTAATAAAAGAAGTGTTGTGGATTAGCAGTAATCTGCCTCTAATGAGTATGTCTTTTAGGTTATGGTCTTGCTGGAATTTTCACTGAGGGATCATCCATGTGTTGAAATCCAAGCAGAGGGGTTGAGGTGATGGTGGAGGATTTTGGGAGCTACCAAACTGTTAGTATGGAAGTTTCTGATAAATTTTGGTCTGTAAGAAGTGGGACCAAATTTAGTAGGGAATGCCTTTCAGTGTGATGAATAGTACATTTTTAAGAGCCTCTCCTATTACATATTTCTTATTCCATGTTGACTTTGTCGACTGTTTGGTTAGTCAGTTGGCATCTGCACAAGAAAGAAACAAGTATTTGGGACAGAAGTAGGTCATTTGAGAGCATGTAATTCAACAGAAAAATTCCAAGTTTATAGGCACTCAGAATTGAACTGACCGCCATGAAATTATATCTGCTTTGCTAGACATGGCACAACTAGCCAAACTGAACCCACCCAGCCCTCACCGAGCTAGCTCAACCCACTCTAATCCTCTAAACATTGAGTTACTGGGCTAGCTCATACCATTTAAACAGTCTAAAGATGGAGTTATTGGGCTAGCTTAACCCCCTCTAACAGTCTAAACACAGAGTTACTGGAATAGCTCAACCCACTCTAACAGTCTGAAGATGGAATTTCTAGGCTAGCTCAACCCACTCTAATATTCTGAACATGGATTCCAGCTCAACCCACTCTAACAGTCTCAACATGGAGTTACTGGACTAGCTCAACTCACTCAACAGCTTAAATATGGCATTATTACTGAGCCAGCTTAATCCACTCTAAAAGCATAAACATGGCCTCATCACTGGCCCAGTTGTAGGTGATTTAGCAGTTGCCCACTTTGCATTCTTTGAGAATGTCATGAGAAAGGAAATACTTGAGTTTGGTATGGCATAGAAGAAGATCTGTATCAGAAATATTTGGCTGTAGAGACTGAAGGCTATAAACGGACATGAATCAACACCACATGACATGCACTATCTTCTTCTTCTTTGTGTTGACTGGCTGTAAACTTTGATGGAAAGTTCTAGTTGTTCATCCACTTCTGGACTTTAGACTTGTTCCAGAACCTGACTGTTGTGTGCACATCCATTTTACAGACCTGACTTTGTATGCATACTGTTAGTTCCTTGACTCTCAGGCAAGTGCACACCAACTTTAAAGGAAGCTACTAATTAGTCGACTCTTACGACATGCTTGTTGGGGAGGCAGTGGGTCTCTTCTTGTCTTCCCCACAATGGGGCTCTGGAATCCACACGGGGAACATGCAATATAAGAAAAGAAGAATATCTATTATATTTTATTAAACAACTTTTAACATCACCTTTGATGCATGCATAATTCCAAGTCCTGACTTTCTTACTTACATAATTTGCTTGACCTGATCGTTTCCTGGACAGGTCAAGTGGTAAGGTATCAGCTTTCGGGGCTGAAAAGCAAATTTGAACATCTAAACAGAATTGTATGAGGAAAAGTCAGTTAAGCAAGTCACAAATGGTTGTTAAAAAAAAACAAATTATATAAAAAAAAAAATTAAGATGACAACTTGAAAACAATTTATTTTTACACATACACTGTCCCTATATTTTTCAACATAATTTGCACCAACATTGATGCACTTTTCCCATCGTTTTATCGGTCCTCCCAAACCTGCTGCATAGAACTGGGTGCTCTGTTTTCTAAACCACATTTACATTTCACATTCAACTTCTGCATCAAAACGAAATGTCTCCCACCAAGATGGCTTTTCAGTGGACCAAAAAGTTGGAAATCATGAGGGGCTAAGTCAGGGCTGTAAGGTGGATGTTCCAGAAGACAGCCATTTCTTGCCTGTCACCTCTAATCATCTCTTCCACTTGCTGCACAGATGCACCTGTTGCAATTTCAAATGGACGACCAGATCGGATTTCATCAACAATTTTAGAGCGTCCTTGAGAATTTTTTTTTTTTTTACCTAGCTATGCATCAGTTTACGGGATAAACATTTATCAGCACAAACAAGAAGCATTTCCTTATGAATGTCCTTTGCAGGCAGCCATTTTGCCTCACCCCCCCCCCCCCAAATTGTTTTTCAACAACACATTGTTCTTTGATGGTACACTCCATAGGTGCAGTCGCCATTTTTTTCTGTAGCGAATGTGCATGCAACACCTAGCACCACCTTACAAATGGAGACATAAAGTTTCATGTTGCTGTCACCTAATAACACCTTTAGAAACCACCAGCCATCGCATAACCATTTGTGACTTACTAATTGACTTCCCCTCGTACAAACATTATGTATTATGAAATCTGGATAACACTTTTTGTTAAAGATAGAAAAATTACACATGGTAATGGTCATTTTAAAAGAGGAGGTGCTGGCTGAATGGTTAAGAGCATAGAGCTCTAATGCAGGAGACCCATGTTTGAATCCTCGGTAAGGTTGGACATTTTTTTTCTTCAGGTGAGGATAAATAAAAAATTATATCCTGCACAGTCCGTGGTGACAGCACTAGCTATGCAGCCCTAAATCCTTAGACTCAAAGACCACCCTGTTCCTTTTTTTCCCCTCACATTGCAAAAGTGGTAACTACTGACAGTAATGGCATCAATAATGGGTTGGGAAGGGGGAGGGGGAGAAGCGGGGTGGGGGGGGGGGGAGAAATGGTCATTTTTAAGCAAAATTCTATACAGTGGTTTAGATCTGGATTAACATAGCTACCTTTCATAGGCGGTTGGTGTGGATTGGGGGGGGGGGGGGGGTGTCATGGTTAAGTCATTATCCTTACGATCTGAATGCTGTGGGCTTGGTTCTGGATCTTGTCCTTTGGTTTGTTAGTTAGCGCTGGTGTTTCAGAGATCCATGAAGGTCACTGCTGAAGTTATGTAGAGCATGCTATGTACAGCTGTCTTGACAGGAGAGCAGCTACTATGTGGAGAGAGACTGAGCCATGTTGGATAAAACCCAGTGCAAGCCGATCCTCTTGACATTAAAAACACCTGTAGGCAATTGACTAACCTTAAGTGAGACACCACATATTTCTTGTCAATACAAATATATTTCTCTTTAGTCAAATGTGCTGTACTATTATAGTCAATTTTGGCTCTGTAGCTAACATGTTAGTGAACAAGTTTCACCACCCTCTAAATACCAGGGTTCAATTTGTGTTGCAGGCATTTTAGATAAAGACTGTTCTAATGGCTTTTTCTTTTTGACAGTGGTATGAGAGTTGCACCATGGTAAAGATTGGGTTTTACTATGAAATACATTCAAAGACTGTAGTGGATGCATATATTCATTGCAGCCAACCTTTAGAGTGGAGATGGCTCAGAATCCTTTAATACTTATTCGTCCTAATAGTGGACATGTTTATTCAAACAAACAGCTAATTAAACTTTCTTAAATATTTCAGTCTTGGAACAACATTCACTGAAGTTGGTAAATTGCACGAAGAAATCGACACCCGATGCAGTAAAGCAGGGCAAGTATTGGGACAAATAGCTCCCCTCTTACATCATAAGGCAATCCTAATTAGCGCAAAGAAACATCTCATACAAAGTTTTTTTTTCATTCCCATCCTATGCTATCAGTTCCAGACATCTTCACTCATAACATAACATTAAAAAAAAAAAAAATTAGTAACTATGGAAATAAGGTGTCTGGTAAAGAATGTAGGAGTGACCAAAATCAGGAATGAGGTCTTACGAGATGAAGTTGGCACAGAACCAACTTTAAATTACAGTAGAACCTTGCTTAACGAGCACCTCACATAACGAGTAATTCGCACGAACAAAACAAATTGTAAAAAAAATGACTTGCTTAACGAGCAACGTTTCGCAAAACGAGTGGCGAGGAGAGAGGAAGTCCCAAATTGTGCGCATGTTACATCAGTCTGTGTTTAGCACTCGTTCCAGTAGCATCGTAGTGTCACTTGTGATGACACATTTTTCTCAAACTTGTGTTATATTGTGATATATGTACATGAATCTTCCAGGCCTAAAAGATGACCTCTCTGAAGAATTTAAGTTCATCAAGATCTAGTTTTTGCCTCCCAACACCACTCCGTTACTCCAGCTCATGGACAAAGCAAGTTATTTCTAACTTTAGGAAACTCTACACTAAAGCACTCTTTGAGCATTGTTTTCATGTGACTGAAGGGACCAACCTCACTCTCAAAGAGTTTTGGAGAAAAATCACTTCCACATCGTGGCCTGCCTCAAGATGATCGACAAGGCGGAAGAAGGGGTTACCAAGAGAATCCTAACTTCTGCTTGGAAGAAACTTTGTCCGGAGAGTGTTGTCTATTTGTGATTTTCAGATGTTCGAGACAGTGAAACCTGTAGTCGAGATTGTGTCTTTGGCCACTATCATGGGGTTGTAGGTGGATAACAGTGATTTCAAAAAGCTTGCGGAAGAGCACAGCCATGAGCTGCGTTTTGGAAGAAAGTTTGTCAGAGGGGGAGGAGGAGGTAACAGAAGAGCAACAATTTTCTGGTGAAATAAGAGAAACGCTGAAAGCATGGCAAACTGTTGCATCTTACATTGAGAGGCATCGCCCTAATAAGAAAGTGGCTATGCGCGTTGCAAATTTATTTAAATATAATGCTGTGTGGCATTTTTGTCAAATTTTGAAACGTCTGCAAAAACAAATCTCTGGAAATCTTTCTAGTAAAAAAAAAAAAAAGAATAATTAGCTATGTATCATAATTATTTCAACTTTTTTTTCTGCAAATCCAATTCGCATTCTATGTGGGTTCATTACACGTTTGAAGAAAATATGAAGATGATCCACTCTCCTTAACAGTATGTATATAATTTTCTTTGAATAAACATTATACATAGCATTTTGTGAGTATCTTTTTCGACATGAAATGCACTATCGTATTTTACATTAATTTATATGAGAAAAACTGTTTCGCATAATGAGTGGTTCGCTTAACGAGTATTATTCTGGAACGAATTATGCTTGTTAAGCGAGGTTCCACTGTACATACAAAGACAGTAAATCAAATGGTTTGCCCACTTGGGGAGAATGCCCTCTGATGCTATACCATATAAGACATATACCAAAAGAGGAGAGGGACATAGAGCAAGAGGTAGACCAAGAACAAGATGGGAAGATAATATCAGAGAAACTTTACAGCACCATGATGTATCTATCATCAAAGCAGCCAGAAGCAGGACAGTATATCTTCCTTGACATTTGAAGCGGTAAAAGAGGACACACAGAAGAAGAAATATTTCTATATATATTCCATACTTACAAAAACAATTACATTTCAAAAGTCAAGCTTGCGACTAACCTCGAGGTCCCAGTATGGCAGTGATCATACTAAACTCATCCAACTTGGCCAAATGATCAGCTGGCACAGAGCTGTTGTTTGTTGTCCCATGTGAGTGGTTTCTAGAGACAAATCTTGGGATTGTATGAGAGGTAAAGGGAGCAGCAACGGAGTAAGGTGAAGAATTGTTAGTGTGGTTTAATGGCTGCTTCATTTCCATGTCAGCTTCTCCTTCTTTCTTCACCAAATAGTCTCCACGCTGCCTTCTGTAATGTACCATTACCAGAGCCACACACAGGCTTGTGATCACAATGGCTGCTATCACTGACACAATGATGACTACTCAAAGACAAACAAGAACATTTGTTAATGAAAAACATGGTAATTAATGTATATGGAAACATTTCAATTTATTATTTAAAACATTAACTTATAAATAAATAACAGAAAGGTCAGTAACTGTCAGTCTTAAACTTGTTACTGCAAGTAAATAATTTAAAATCATTAACTGGCTATCTGAAACTTGTTATTGAAAGTAAATAAATGAAAGATCAGTATCTGCCTATATTAAACTAGCTAATGCAAGTTAATAACTGAAAGATCAAGAGCTACTTATCTAACACTTGTTACCATATCATATTAATTACTGAACCCTTATGCTTCAGGTCAAAGGGTGTTCATCTAAGTTTATTCAGGAGCCACAATTTTGAAAATGTGGATTGTCATGGGCCAGAGGTCCAAGCCCCAGCGTAGAGGGATCGTTAATACAATGCGGCATACAATAATCCGTGGGGCTCACGCTTGGCCTCCACGGGCCGCCTTTTGAAAAGCTCTGCTTAAGGGCTACATTATCAGCAAAATTATTTTACTAAAAGAGAACTAGCTTGTTTAGGAAACTGGGTGTAATTGTTGCTGAGCCCATAAAAAGAATGAATAAACACAAAGAACAATGTGTATAAAATACTAATTACTATCAGTTAATCTCAGTTCCAGCTTCACAGCAAATGGGTCAACCCCTCATTGATTAATTCCTGGGCCAGCAGAAACAACACAGAATGACTATCACTGTCCCCTTGGGAAAAAACATGAAACAAACTGCAGCTAAAAACTTAGACACACATTAAATGCATAAGGCAGCTTTCAGAAGTGCCAACACAAACAGTGCACCACTAGAAACTAGAACTGTAATTCATCATTGATGGAAGAAGCATTTACAACAAATCAGTAGTTGCACATCCATTTAATCTAAAAGGCACCATTCCCTATTTTCTCAAATCCTATATTCAATGATAAAGACTTGGGTCAAAATTGTTGTTTCTCTGTGTGTATTTCCCTTTGCTAGACTTCCTAGTTACTTTGTGTTCACTCATAGCTTTTTTGTGTGTGTGTGTATCAAATTAACCAATTTCTATCTTCAGATTCCTTCTCTTTATTGGTAGTTTGTATCTTCTTCTCTTCTTCAGCATTCTGAGCACTTGATGTTCATTACTGCAGATCTCACCAGCTTCCCTTCATCTGTGTGTGCATGCTTGTGTATGTCTGTGTTTCTGTGGGTGCGTCTGTATGTGCACCTGTGTATCTGTATGTATGTGTGTGGAATATGTGTGTATGTATGTATATATGTGGGTGTGTGTGAATATATGAGGTGTATGCATGTTTAAGTGAGTGGGTGTGTGTGCATGTGTGTGCATGTGCTGGTGTGTGCATGCATTTTATCACCCATACTTTTTTTTTTTTTCTTGATATTCACAATATGCATAGTATCATATGAATATAACATGCTTTGTTGATAAAATAAAACTGCTGTGAGAAAGATGGGTATTTGGAAGGGCCGAATGTAAGACAGGCCTGCGTGCATGCCCAATTTGTGACCCTTTGAAAAAAAAGTTTGTTCGTTCGTTCATTCGTTCATTCTGTGACTGACTTTCTCTTTCCAGTTGGTGACTTTAAGAGTCTGAAGGTATGCCTGTATATATTATCTTTCTACAATTGTCTTGGCCAGCCTCATCACATACTCCTATTCAACTCATTTGTATATGAAGTTTTTGTCTCTCTGTTATCTTATTTGCTATTCTATTTATTTGCCCCTTTCTTTGTTGGTAGACTTTAGTGAACTTGTTGATAGTTTGCATGCATTAATTAATTTTTAATTTCTTCTCTTTCCCAAATTAACAAGTTTTCATTACATTTAAAAGATCAAATATCTCTCCAGCTATATTAATTACCAACTGTCTGAGATTATAGCCTGTTTAAACCCAGGTATCCTGGTTCCCTTGTACATATTACCAATGTTAACCACTGCACATATGATGTAATGCTGATTTCCAATATCTAAAAAAAACAAAATAAATGCTTGTGCTGGTTACTTCTCTAACAAATGTTCCAGAAAACTCCCTAGTGTCACTTGTGTGTCTCTGATTTCTCTTTCTATAGTGCTTTAACAACATAGTGTATAAGAGAAAAAGGAAGTTAGTTTGTTACTTTCAATGGCATCCTCATATATTCACACAGATAGATGGTATAAACCATCAATAAATCTGTCTTCAGAAATTAGTTGCCTTCTGACAAGCCAAAAATGGACCACAGTTACATTCACACCAGATGTTGACACAAAGAAACATACTTCTTCTGTTATTACCCTTAACAGAACAGTAAGCACATTATGTTGTAGCTTGTGATATTCTCATCTTCTGACCTAGCACATTATGTTGTAGCTTGTGATATTCTCATCTTCTGACCTAGCACATTATGTTGTAGCTTGTGATATTCTCATCTTCTAACCTAGCACATTATGTTGTAGCTTGTGATATCCCTTCTTCTGACCTAGCACATTATTTTGTAGCTTGTGATATACTATCTTCTGACCTAGCACATTATGTTGTAGCTTGTGATATTCCATCTTCTGACCTAGCACATTATGTTGTAGCTTGTGATATCCCATCTTCTGACCTGGCACATTATGTTGTAGCTTGTGATATCCCATCTTCTGACCTGGCACATTATGTTGTAGCTTGTGATATCCCATCTTCTGACCTAGCGCATTATGTTGTAGCTTGTGATATCCCATCTTCTGACCTAGCACATTATGTTATAGCTTGTGATATCCCATCTTCTGACCTAGCACATTATGTTGTAGCTTGTGATATCCCATCTTCTGACCTAGCACATTATGTTGTAGCTTGTGATATCCCATCTTCTGACCTAGCACATTATGTTGTAGCTTGTGATATCATATCTTCTGACCTAGCACATTATGTTGTAGCTTGTGATATCCCATCTTCTGACCTAGCACATTATGTTGTAGCTTGTGATATCCCTTCTTCTGACCTAGCACATTTTGTTGTAGCTTGTGATATCCCATTTTCTGACCTAGCACATTATGTTGTAGCTTGTGATATCCCATCTTCTGACCTAGCACATTATGTTGTAGCTTGTGATATCCCATCTTCTGACCTAGCACATTATGTTGTAACTTGTGATATCCCATCTTCTGACCTAGCACATTATGTTGTAGTTTGTGATATCCCATCTTCTGACCTAGCACATTATGTTGTAGCTTGTGATATCCCATCTTCTGACCTAGCAGATTTAATTTTAGCAAACCCTTAAAAAGATAGGGAGGACATGGAGAGAGCTGCATGCAATAGCGAAGGAGGGAAGAACCTGGCGTGAGTTGGTGGAGGGCCTTCGCCCCATTGGGGGTTAGAAAGGCAAAAGAAAAGAAGAAACCCTTAATTAGTTGCTTTTTATGACATGCTTCTGAAGTGGCAGTGGGTCTTTTCTTTTTTTTTTTTTTCATTCAAAATGGGGCCCCAGAAATCTAGATGGAGACTACATGTCATACAATATATTCGTTATATAAACTTACTGATGGTTACATCATAAACAGGCTCTTTGCTTGTTGAGGAAACAACAGGGTAGGTTTTATTTTTTGCCCCACTTGCAATTGTTGTAGCTGCAGACGTAGTTGGCAGACTGCTCTGTTTCGGTACTGGACTTAGAGTTACAACTCTGAGCTCACTGTGTTCCCATGGAGGCATTGTTACTGTCTGTGGAAAGGTAACAACATAAATAACAGTAAATCTTCTAAACTTTTAACAATTAAAAAAAATATTTTGATAGTTATTAACACAACTAATATTAAATATATCAGAGTGTTTGCAAAATAAATAAAACAGTAAATCTTCTAAACTTTTAACAATATAAATAATATTTAAATTCTAAACTTTTATTACAAAAAACATAGTAATCTTCCAAACTGTTAAAACCTTAGATAAGACTAAACCTTTCAAGCTGTTAACAACATGCTTAGAAAGATAGAAAAGGGCTGGATTTGAAGGCAGTGGTTGAAATTGGAGTCTCTAAAGTGGCCTAAGCTGACACATATCAGTTTCATATTTGTGCCAGGAAACACAGGCATGCAAGGGAATGAACAAGCTGATTGGCTCATAGGTAAAGCTAATGTGGAGGGCGGACAAGTGACTGACTAACTAGTAGGTGAACAACATGAACTTTCCACCAGTGTTTACAACCAGTGAACTCAAAGAATAAGATATGACTCATCTCTTTTAAACAATTAATACATAAGAGCATGAGTTAAAAATGTGTGTCAGAATCAGCATAAACAAAATAATAAATAGAAAACTGGAACGGTAAAAACAAACAACATTTCATGCAGCAGTTCAGAATGGTAAGAGTTGATTACACAAGAGGCATGTTCTGTAAGTCTTGAATTAACAGAACATTAAAACATCGAGATTCCCTGCAGAAAAGTGGTCCGCTTTCAGTCCCCAGAAGTGGCAACATATTTGTGAACAAATGAGTACAAATTTAGAAAACTTTGTTGTGAATTGTGACAAGGAAAGGAACTGGTCTTGCTACCTCACCTGTCATGACCTAGAATATGTGAAGGCCCAAAACTGTTCACCCTACAGCCATATCTGCTAATGGACTACCTTTATCTTTAGAAGCAATGAGCGACCACCCCCATAAAAACTCTGTTTGGAATCTAGCTCAACAAGAAAGGCATGATTGGGAAAGTAAATGGCAAATAAAATGTCAAATGATTTAACTTAATGACAGTATCATTATCATCATCATTTCCAGTTACCGCAAAAGTTCCAGGTGTTGCTCTAGGCGGAAGTGGAGTAGCTGTTGTACTGTAAACTTCCACATAACTTGTGGAGCAGCTTCTGGTTGTGTCTCCAAGCACTTCAATATTGGGAACTTTCAGGTAGAGATCTCTCAATGTATGAAGTATCAGGGAACTTGTGTCTTTTGGAATGTATGCTGTATCTGTTAAAGTAAACAAAGACATCATTTGTTTGCTATGGATAGACAAGGAAGCCACCATGGTGTAGCGGCTAGACACTCACCAGTGGATCGGATTCAGGGTTCAGGTCCAGGTGGAGCCATACTTTTTTCAAAAATGACTTTGGCTCCCAGGCCAACCCAACCTTAAATGAGTACTAGGTAAAGATCTGGGAAGTAAAGGCAGCTGGTGAGATGCTGACCACATTACCCACATAGTTTTTATTGGTCTATAAAATATAAGTCTAGCCCTATATGCCCAATACTTCTGACAGGGTGGAAAATGTCCTTTATGGATAGACACTGAATGGCTGCACATTTACATCAATGAATACAAAATGCAAAATAAAAACTCAACTTTTGTAATCAGCTATCTAAAAGGTAAAAATGTATAATTCATTAAACTAAAAACTTGTAATCTACAGTCAGGAGCCAGAGGTACTGAACCATACGTGCTGGTGCACCAGGAGCCGGGGCTCGTACTGGTTCAAATCTACCTATACCTCTTTGCAGTTGTCCCAAGCTAAAATTAACTCTTTTAGTACCAAGGAACTCACCATACATTGACTGATTTTACTGAACATGGAACCCCTTTCTTTATTTCTCCTTTACTGCTAAGTAGTACAGAACCAGTCAATCTGTCTGCTTGTTTGTTTCACAACACACCTGCATTCTTAGAGAGAATATTCAAAGGACACCAATCACCTGGGACATCTGGAGTGATGCTTGTCACTCTGCAAAGAGTTTGCCTGTCTAAACATTTCTCAGCATGCTTTGTGCATCTGTTATAATCATGACATGCCAGCCCCCCCCCCCCCCCCCCCCCCTCCCCTCAGCCTTTTCCCACAAGCATGCACATTTGTTTAATTATCTTTTTACTTGTACCATCTTTGCAGCATTTTCTAGAACTTCATACAAGTTAACTCTTTGAGTCCCAGGGGGTTTAGCATCACAGGCCCAGGGTGTAGTAAAGAAAGTAATAAAATCAGCGCATCATGCGTTCATTGGGCTTCTAGGTAGGAACCTATGAACGTATTATGCGTTCGTTGGGACTCAAAGAGTTAAGAAACAAACAGGGGGTTTCATGTTGGCAGGATGACAGAAGACAGTAAAAATAAAATTACAGTATTCCAGAAGTTTTCTGAGCTAATGAAAAAAAAAAAAAGAGCTATACACCATGCAATAGTGAATATAACTTGTGAAGAGCAATTGATTTCTTACTGCTACAGTTTGAGAACTTTGAGATGGCATGTAACCAGGCCTTTTTTACCAAATACAAAAGTGCTTGTACTCGCTGAAAAGTGTGTTTAAAAAGTTGAGGGTACTCCCTAAAACAAAGTTCCTAAGTTCCTATTACAAAAGCACTAATAAAAAATATGCCTTAAAAGAAAAAAGGGGCTGGTTTTGCATACCACAGGAAAAAACCCATGCCATAACAGAATAAAAATATTAAACTGAAATTAAAAAATAACAACCACTGACACCAACGGAAAGAGGATATTTAAAATGACAGTAATTGTACAGTAAGTTTAACAATGACTGATTATAACAGATGGCTCACTAGATATGCAGCCAGAAAAGTTGGCAGTGTTCCCAAACTCATGTTGCCCTGTGATGTAACCTCCGATGTAAATGGTGTCAATGTTGTTTAAGGGGTAGTCTGGGTAATTGATGTTGGCTTCTTTGATATCATCCACCTGTTCACAGAAACAATCCCCATCAATAAAAAAAAAAATACACACACACACAGTGATTATAGATTTCTGTGCACACACAAAAGAAAAAATGAAATAAATACTTGAAAACTTTACAATAGTTGCATAATGTTTATATGATACTGCAAACTAACCCCAGTGTTTGTTGACTGTTTGTGGTTTGACTAATGTTTATGTTCAGTAGTTTGCTGCTGCCTTTTGAATGGTTGCCCCTAGATACCATTGTTTAAAGCAACACAAAGCGGCTGCTGCTAAATTCCCAACAGCTGGAATCAAAGTGAGTATACTGGAATTACAAACTGCATTTGTCAACCCTAAGCCACTGAAGTTGATACTTTATAATAACATTAATGAAAAAAATGACAGGGGGGGGGTGGTGGTAGGAGGGTTTGGTGTTTTCTTTGGCTTAGAGGTTTTCTAGCTTACAATGAAGTTTGAAAATGTTTATTAAAAATATGGTTTATAATGGTATCATACATGTACATAGATGTAAATAAAAAAAAGGCAATCACATCATTTTCAGACAAGTACAACAGTTTAAGTACCTAGGCACATGGATAACATCAGATGGAAGATATATCACAGAGATAAATAACAGAATAGTTAATTAGTCTTAGTTAGTCTTTTCTCATGGGCATAGGGTGGCGCATAGGGCAAAGGTCATAGCTCTCCATGTCTGGTGGTTCATTGCCACCTGTTTTATGTCTTGGATGTTTGTTAGGTCCAGGGTTTAGCATTTCCTGACGATGGTTCTACGTAAAGTGTCTCTTGGTCTTCCTCATTTTCTTATTCCTTCCGATGTCCATATGAGGGCTTGATGGGGAAGTCTTGTCTTATCCACTCTTAGTGCATGGCCGATGTAGATCCAGTGGCACTGTCTTATAAAACTGGATACGCTGTCTTGCATGGTCTGTCTTATTTGCATGTTGGATCTGAAATCTGTCCAGTGGAGATTTAGTATTCTTCTAAGATATTTGTTCTCAAAAACTGTCTAATTTTTTTTATCTAAAAGCTACTGTTGCTTTCCAGCTCTTGCATCCATAAGTTAGACTGGAATCACACAAGAGTTGAAGATCTTAAGTTCTGTGTGATTGCTGAGTGACTTTGACTTCCAGATGTTTGACAGTTTGTTAAAGTTTGTTAGCAGCACTAGATGCCATCTCGATTCTAAATTATATTTCTGGGCTGAGTCCCCTAAAGATGCCTTCTTTATTCCTAGGTATGTAAAGCTGTTAACTTTGTCAAGAATGTGATCATTTAGTTTGATTTCGTCTGAACAAGATCAATAATTTAAACATAAAAATTTTATAAAACAACAGAATAAGAGAGGCAAAAACTTAATTTCTTGTTCTTTCATGAAGATCATCTAATGCAACAAGTCCCTGTCATGGGAGGTTAAATAAAACATTTTTGCATGCTATGTAATTTTTTACTGTGAATTCTGGAAGATAATTACTAAATAAGCCAAACATCATTAGTTGGCAGTTCAAGTATGTATCATATGCATATTACGGGAGTATCTCTTGTACATCCCAGAATCACCCACCTGACTTTATTATGTTCAAGTTTCATCAGCTGACAATTCGATATGATAATCATTTCAGTTCCATAATCTATCAACACAATGATTAAGTGCTAGAACATTGGGAATAGCATTCTTTGTATGATGTCCATTGCTGATATAATCTTGAGATCAATAAGACCCTTTGGCACTTTGCGGCAACAACCTCAACATTGTCCTTGAAGGACAAGATTTTATCAAAAGTGACACCCAGGTACTTAAGCTTGCTGTCTAATCAAACTTACTATTATTCACTGTGATGCTTGGGACATCAACTCTGACAATCCTGTTGTCTTGTTCTGGAACAAGCCCAAAGTCCAGAGGGGGATGAACAACCAGAACCTAGAGAGTTACTACAGCCACAATCTATGGTGTCCATGGTTGTATTATTTTCTCTGCGTCTTGTCCCAGAAAACTGTTACTTTATTCTACGGCCTCCAGTTTAATACCTCCTCTCCATCTAATTCCCAGTAATGTTGAACGCTGAATTAAGAATCAACATCACAGCACTCGGGACACCCCCATAAGCACTCCATCCCCATCTTCAGCAGCAAGTGAAGAGCTCCAATTCCGATGGCACCATTAACTGTCTGATTGTATATCCAACTCGTCCATGATTCAATTCCATATACCAGGATAGAATGTATATAGCTCTTGAGAATTCTCTTTCTTACCTCACTTGACGAAGAAAGAATTTTCTCTCATTCCAAAATGAGCCTTTGCCAGCATTTTGCACAGAAAATGTATGTCTGTACACAGATCATTTAGTGTAAATGACGTGGGGTGGGGGGAAGGGGGAGGGGATTGGGGAGGGGGAGGGGCCAAGAACTGCTTGGACTGGAAGGGACTTGCATGTGCTACATGTGCAAACAAATCATCTTCCTTATACCAGCCTTTCTAGTGCTATAACAGGGTGTACAAGTCTGCTTTAAACACCAAGATACTGTAATGATACATAGCTGTTATGATTGATGTTTGATAACTAGAAAATGTCAGAGATAATATTTGTGCTGTCCTGCTACTTCTGTGGCTCCATTGTTATTTATTCACAAGAGTTTGGGTTGATGTTTTTTTCTCTCTAGCATTTGTCTATTATCTTTGTTTTATTTGTTATCTGTTCCAGAGACAAGGTTCTTTTATTATAGGTTCGGTGGAGGTAAAACCTTTTCAATATCATTGAGTTTTGGGTACAGTCTAGGAATATATTTTACGCTTGTGTAGGGCCATTTGTTTTGAAAAGTGCTTTGTATTGAGTTAACTGCATTCAGAGTACCCAAGACTATGTTCTAACATGTTCTAAATTAATATCTACTAAAATATGTGCTTAAATCAACCTTTATTAGAGAAAAAATATTAATTACTTCCTAGTAAGTGTGTATGCAATCTTTCTAGACAAAAAATTGTTACAGTTACTTTCTAGGAACAAAAGAGCTTGCATAAAATACTTTTGAAATGTAATATGTATAAATTAATTTGACAAACATTACTAAAATCACAAGTTTTGATGATGGATCAGACGGCAAACACAGACGAAGACTAATTTGTACATGGGATATACATGTCATTATATCACAACAGAGCTCGCTTGTAGCACTGACACCAACACTACATCATGATTACTTACTTTAACTACCATCTTAGACCCCTCACGGATGTAGGTGAAATCATGTGGTCTACCATCAGCATATCTACCTGGTACTGTCATCCGATCTGAAATTAATCAATTCTATGACAGAAAAAACACTTCAAACTTTTGAAAATCTATATTTTTGTTCATGAGATTTTTTTAACAAAATGCATATGTATTCCAGAAATAGTTTAAAAACAAAAAAACAAATAAGGAATTACTCATGATTGTCAGCTTCTATACCAACATTCTGCCAGTTTAGAATTATTTTCTTCCCTGATTAGTGCATTTGCTCTAGCGAAACTACGTATTAGTTTTGCGATCCATTATATAGACTAAACTTTGGCAATCATGACTGCATAGATTAAAATGGAGCACGCTCATTGTGTGATGTGAAAAGGTTAACAGATAAAATTGTAAATGATCGCACACCAAGAAGAAGAAGAAGAAAAAGAAGACTTCATCTAATCACAGAAAGTTATAGTCATCTAATCACAGAAAGTTATAGTCATCTAATCACAGAAAGTTATAGTCATCTAATCACAGAAATGGTCATCTAATCACATAAAGTCATGGTCAACTAATCACAGAAAGTCATGGTCGTCTAATCACAGAAAGTCATGGTCGTCTAATCACAGAAAGTCATGGTCATCTAATCACAGAAAGTCATGGTCGTCTAATCACAGAAAGTCATGGTCATCTAATCACAGAAAGTTATAGTCATCTAATCACAGAAAGTTATAGTCATCTAATCACAGAAAGTTATAGTCATCTAATCACAGAAATGGTCAACTAATCACATAAAGTCATGGTCAACTAATCACAGAAAGTCATGGTCATCTAATCACAGAAAGTCATGGTTAACTAATCACAGAAAGTCATGGTCGTCTAATCACAGAAAGTCATGGTCGTCTAATCACAGAAAGTCATGGTCATCTAATCACAGAAAGTCATGGTCATCTAATCACAGAAAGTCATGGTCATCTAATCACAGAAAGTCATGGTTAACTAATCACAGAAAGTCATGGTCGTCTAATCACAGAAAGTCATGGTCGTCTAATCACAGAAAGTCATGGTTAACTAATCACAGAAAGTCATGGTCATCTAATCACAGAAAGTCATGGTCAACTAATCACAGAAAGTCATGGTCATCTAATCACAGAAAGTCATGGTCATCTAATCACAGATAGTCATGGTCAACTAATCACAGAAAGTCATGGTCATCTAATCACAGAAAGTCATGGTCATCTAATCACAGATAGTCATGGTCAACTAATCACAGAAAGTCATGGTCATCTAATCACAGAAAGTCATGGTCGTCTAATCACAGAAAGTCATGGTCGTCTAATCACAGAAAGTCATGGTCATCTAATCACAGAAAGTCATGGTCATCTAATCACAGAAAGTCATGGTCATCTAATCACAGAAAGTCATGGTTAACTAATCACAGAAAGTCATGGTCGTCTAATCACAGAAAGTCATGGTCGTCTAATCACAGAAAGTCATGGTTAACTAATCACAGAAAGTCATGGTCATCTAATCACAGAAAGTCATGGTCAACTAATCACAGAAAGTCATGGTCAACTAATCACAGAAAGTCATGGTCAACTAATCACAGAAAGTTATGGTCATCTAATCTCAAGTCATTGTTCATATTAAACAGTACAAAATCAGAATTGATTACTTAAAAAAAAAATGCTCCTTACATATTCCAACACCTTGATTTGTCTCCAAAACCACATTGCCACTGGAATCAAGTTTCACCAAAACATAGTCTTGTGATCTGAAAATATGAAATAGTCAGAAAATATTAAATGGTCATTTTATTTCTCAGAGAAAAATGTTAGACACTTAATTTCTTGTGAATTACACAATAAGAAACACAAAGTGGCCTCCTCATTTCATAACTTTATAAAAAATATAACACAATTTTAAGCAGTAGTAGTAGTAATGTCAACAATTATAACCTGTTTAACACATGTGGGTTATATGTTGAATTTTGAATTAAGAATTGACATCATAGCACTCAGGACACACCCATTAGCACTCAGGACACACCCATTAGCACTCAGGACACACCCATTAGCACTCCATCAACATCTTGAGCAGCAAGTAAAGAGTTCCCATTCCGATGGTACCAGTAACTGTCTGATTGTCTCACTTTTCCCTTGAGTGTTGAGCATTGGTCACATTTCCTGGTAAGTCCTCGCAGCGCCATTCTCCTCAGACCATAATAATCTATTTGTGCCTCTGCACAGTTCACTCACTCCCAAAGGGCCATCACAACATCTCTCAAGTGGTGCAGAACCAACCAGTATATCTGCCTGCTCATTTCCCAACACACCAGCATGACCTGGAGAAAGTATTCAAAGGATGCTAACTACCCAGAAGTTTCTGCTGGAGTCTAAAGCTATTGAACATGAAGAAGAGGAAAAGAATGCAAAACTATATACTCACACAGTGCTGGTGACATAAGCAAGTATGGAATGGCTACTGCTGTTGACCTTGATGTCAGCCTTAAAGCGAAACGAAAGCCTCTCGCTGAGACTATACTGGTCCATGATGGGCAGCTGGAAGGTGTGATGTATGACAGTATTGCCAGATAAGCTCACTGAAGGCTCTATTGAAATAATATTAAAAAAATGGTTTTAATCAGTGTGGTTCAGATGATCTCATTGAAGATTCAATAAAAATAAAAATTGTTTTATCCCTTGTGGTTCAGATAAGCTCCTCACTAAAGAGTCACTAGAGAGCAGACATGAAACTGAAACAAAACAATGAACCACAGAGACAACATACAACATACATGGATCCATGGTTAACAGAGACAGAATTGAGATGTTAGAGTCGACGATTAAGCCGTTAGTACCAAACAGCATTAGAAGCCAGGTGGCAGTTACAGACACTAGAACCAATTAACTAGAGATGAAGAACACAATGCCACTTCAAGAGTATGTAACCACAGAGGGAACACAGAGCCATTCAGAATATTACTGATGTTATTTGCAACACTGCTGAGGTATAACAATAAAGACAGTATAGAAAAGTACAGTTGTATCCAGACATTTTATTATTCAAGCATCAGAGCCACATGAGAAGCATGCACCAAGTATGAAAGACCATCATCATCTATTGACACGACCATCTCTCTCCCCATCTATTCTCTTTCAATGGACTCAGCCTGTAGCACACTAAAGACGAACATGGGTGTGACATCAACAAATGCAAAGAAAACAGCTGTGCTACATAACAAAGAAATTAAATCTGAAAAAACATATTCAACTGCTTTTACAATCTTCATAAATCGTAGAAACAATATTTAAGGTAATGAAATGAGATTAAACACACAAAAAATGACTAATAGCATACCAATCTCGCATCTGTTTCCAGAGAATCCATTTTCTGCACAGTCACACTGAAAGCTCTTTTGTCCCCATTTTTCGACACAATATCCGTTGTTATGGCAACTGTTTTCATCACAACCATCATCACAAGCTTCAACCACCACTGAAACAAGTCAAAAGAAAGAACATTGCAATTGATTAATTTACTCTATTCTGAATTTTAAAAAAAAGAAAGTTAACTAGGTTTAGGACTAGAGAACAGACAAAGAGAGACACCCTGGTCCTTCAGGTTGGAAACTGAAGTGTAGTGCTCACACCCTCACCTTCATAAAATTTCATTTCACCATGAAACAGATATCTAAGTCTCAATTTCAGATGGCTTTAAACGGATGACATTGGAATGTTAAAATTATTTTGAAAACATAGTTTTACAGTGAATCTTTGGATCTATCAAACAGTGAGGAATGGAGAGTGAGCAGCAACAATGAAATACATAATCTGCTTAATTCACCACTGATCACTGGCATCATAAGGGCTAACAGACTGACTGAAATAGCTGGAGCATATTGAAATAATATCAGATGAGAAAGGTCAAAACTTTTACACAAGGGAGCTGAATGGTCTAAACAAGTGATTCCAAAACTGTGTGCCGTGACGCCCCGGGGAGCCATGACCTCTTTACAGGGGCTCTGCAAAATATTTGAAGATACACAAGTTTTTTTTTTTTTTTTTTAATCTCTTACATACTAAAAGTCATACTTTTACTGAGGTTAGGAAAAATTTTAATTGAAAAAAGACACTGCGACTAAGAAAAGTTTGGGAAACACTGGTCTAAACCACACAGCAGACCAAGAAGATAATATAGAGATAACATCCAGGAAGACCTACAAACACGTGTGTAACCAACAGGAAAGAGAAGGCCAACCAGAGAGATGAATAGAGGCCAGTGTTATCTGCAGCAGTGAACTCCAAGGGCCTAAAGATGGTTTAGGAAAAAACAGTATACCATAATGAGTAATGACATTCAGATCAAGAGAACGAAAGACAGAGAAATAACAGATTTCCTTGAAATCCTAACATATAAAACATTCATTAACACCTTAACACTGATAGTTAAAACTCAGTGCAATTTAGTCAATCCTCTGGCCTTTAACCCTGTCAGCCTGAGAAGTCACAAAGTTGACACTTCTGACTGGGGCCAGGAGGCTGTAAATGTTATCTTTCAGACCAGTCGATAGTGACCTGTTTACAAGACATGCAGTTAATGCTATCTGCTGTATTCACACTTACACAAACATTTATAAGGTCAGAATGTGAATATATATAAACTAATTAAGCCTTCAAGGGTTTTCCATTAAACCAAATGCTTTTTTTTTACAGACAAGTCAACATAAGATTTTCATGTAAGCTAATAGAGGTCAGGGGGTCAGGGCATGAGTCACCCTAAACATATATCTTTAGGCTCTGGGTAATATATTTTTTCAAATGTATTGGTGATCTGAGTTTAACATTTTTTTTGGGGGGAAATTATTTTTTTCTAGAATTCCTGCGGGATCATTGACTCATCAACAGAAACAGACAAAACAGAAACTTACATGTCTTATTATTCAAGGCTACAGCAGCATCCTGCAAATGGAAGACATGATCTCCAATACGGACCCCTCTAACACAGCCAATCAGAGGCACAGTTGAGCTGGCCATGTCTTTGACTCCCCCGATGTAGGCATGGATATATGGGGCTGGCATTAGCGATGGTCTTGCTAAGAATACTGATTCTGCAATAGTGTAATTAAAAAAATGTTCTAGAAAAATTTGAGGATAACATCTTTTGTTGCCATTTGTGGCTAAAGGGCCATGAACGCACTTTCATAGTTCTGGTATACGAGAAGTTTAAAAATGTCATAAACTGCCGTTACTGCCCTAATCACTTTAGCGGTTTAGGCAAAGGGAATGTTTAAGTTTGAGGATTTAAGGCCACATGGCTAGTGCTGTCACCATGGACTGTGCAGCTTAGGATTTTACTTTTGTCCCTGACAGAAAAAATCCCCAAACCTTACCAAAGATTTGAACCTGGATTTGATTTCACAGCCCTACATTCTTAACCATTCAACCAGCTATTCCTCGAGTTTAAAGTTAACTGTAGGTAATGAGGCAGAAGACCACTTTCCAATAATTTTGACAACAGTATGAATATTATATATGAATATTATGCCATTCAAAAGGCGATGGCAAACTACATGAAGGAAAAATTGCTTAGTAAAACCACACAATGGCTGATAAATGCTGAGTTGGTTTGCGATTTCCAGTAATTGACATGCAACTAACTTTCATGTCTTTGAGACTAATCCCATTGTTAGTATATCACTAAGTGAAACCTTTCCTACATGTCACTGTAAGGTCCATTTTTATAATGACCATGAAAGAGTGACATTCCACTGTATCCTCAGTCCTGTGATTCAGGACATGTGATTTTGACATCCTGTGATTCAGGACATGTGATTTTGACAATCATTTTTTTTTACATGTGTGCTTTCTCTAGCTTTTTACCATCGCCAGTTTACCTACAAGGCAGAAGAGACATGTCTCTTTTTACTGGTTCTCACCAACAGACCTGTCCAGCTTTTGAGACTCTACCAGTAGCTACGCTAATGTCAGCATGTTTCTTAGAATCACTGAAACACAAAACTTCCTCAAACAGCCAGGCAAGTAAACATAAGGCAAGTTGCATTTTTCTGTATATATTTCCAAGCACCGTACTGGAAGAGAGCTGCATAAAGTCAGTAGAAGTATTTACCTGCCTCCATGTCATGTCAATGCCAATCTGGCTGTTGCAGCCAGCCATGTCCTCCTTAATATAATCTTGCCTTTTCTTAGTAAGTTCCATCACTGGCCATATGCCATTTTATGCTGCAAGGTATGCAGTTTTTTTTTCTCTGCCACCTCAATCTTCTTCACTGCCACAATGTCTGATCATCCTAAATTGTGTTATATGAACCATAATGATGTGCTGGGGGAGAAATCACATATGATAGAAAAAAAAAGATGTTTGTAGCAGTAATAAATACTCAAAGGGGAAAACAGAAATTTCTAGAAGTTTAAATAATGCGGACACAAACAACACATTGCACATTTTATTGCTTGCCAGTGTACTCTTTGTGTCCGCATTATTAAAATTCACAATAGGAAAACACTGTTTTGAATTTCTAGAAGTAATACATATTGGATTGAAGAAAAAAAACCCAGACATTTTTAGGAGTAACACATACTGGATGGAGAAAACAGTCATTTCTTGAAGTAACAGATACTGGATGGAGAAAACAGACACCCGAAAAAGTAAAAAATATGCTTTAAAAAATAATAAGACAACTATACTCACTCATACACTATAAGGAAGAAATAGAAAACAGTATCAGATGTGTCTTCAATTATAATTTAATCAAAATGAACCACACTGAAGCCAAATGTGAATATTTATGACATTATATAAGTGTAAGATCATAAAAATATTACACAAACTCTAATTGTACAAACATTGCCAAGAAAGACAAATACACCAAAGTCTCAAAACTGTATTAAAATAAACAAGCTCACTATGGACTGACAGAATTTAAAGAACGAACATGACATCATTTCAAGAATAATGAAAAATGGTAATTATGATGACACTAAAGCAGATAAGAAGACTGACACCGAGTGAGAAAGTAAAACCATGAGATAAATATATACTTACGTTGATATAGGCTACGACTGAAAGGGTCAACTGAGTAACTCTGGATCCGTCCTCTGCGAATTTCAATAACTTTGGATTGTCCAAGAACCATAAGCCTTGTGAAGTTGAAGTAGTTCTCAGCAACAATTTGCTTCCATCGCCCATCATTCAGTGGTTCTGAAATGTCAAATCATTCTCACATTAGGAAATATTCAATTGTTAATGCAAGCAGTTTTAACATTATATTCATTAATAAGTTTTGTTTCTCAATATGAACTTTCTTATATAGTTATGTAAAACTTATTATCTGGTCCTGTTCACATTTCCAGGCCAAGGATTAGATTAACTTCCCTCGCCATCATGCCTCCTTAGGTCGTTGGACCTCTCCTGTGTTACAATGGTGTTATGATATGGCTTGGTGTTCACTCAGCATATGCAATGTTTGTGGGAGGTTATGTTGTTGTGAGTCTACTTCAGGCACCACAGGCGCCTGTGTACAACGAAGAGGTACTGCAGGGGGAAGTGCAGCAGGCACGACGATTCTTGGCAATTGAAGGATGTTATTTTGTATTTCTACGTTCATTGGCAGTGGCTCCCCCCCCCCCCCCCCCCTCAATCGGGAAAAAGAAAGCTGTTACAAAGAGCGTAGGAAAAGAAAAATTTTTCATCTGTTAATGAAGAAACTAACAATATGCATCTGTTTATCTCTTCATTAATAATTCTTTTGTAAGATATTAATTTTTCAAAATGATGTCTGTAAATTAGGACTGATTCAAACATTGAAAAGTCAGGATTTTTATTCCAGTTTCTGATAACCACATGTAGACATGACTCTCACCATCTGTCCTAACTGAGTCCCGCACAATCTGGTTCAAGTTGTTGTAGCTGATGGTAACTGTGTGAGCATTGCTTAGCTCTAATTGGACAAAATTGCCCAAGTGATCATGAACATACAGCAGCTGGGCCTCGGACTGAAAGGTGCGGAAGCTGAGAACAACTGTGCCATCCAGTACACCAGGAGAGTCTGTCACATCGAAGAAAAGGAACGATGCTGGCAAGCCACTGAAGGTAACAGCATCCTTGTTTAAGTCTGAAAGCATGTAACACACAAACATCATTTACCAGCATTCTGGTTTGCTCAGTGAGTAAAACTGATTCTAGGACCCCTGGATCCCAGTTGGGGGATTGGGGGGATGGGGGATTGAGGAGGGAGAGGGAGTAGGAAATAAATGCACTACCCTTTATCAAGAATGCGTTTAAAAATGAGTGACTTATTCAAAGTTTGCTGTAATTGGATGTGATGGGGTCAAAGGTGAAGAAATCATAGCCTAGCTATCCCCATGTGGGTTCCGGGGCCCCATCGTGGGGAAAACAAGAATAGACCTACTTCCTGCTTAAAAACATGTCGTAAGAGTTGACTAATCGGGAGCTTCCTTTGAAATTGGAGTACATCTGCCTGAGTGGCAAGCAACCAACAGTATGCATGCAAATGGTTAGACTTGTGAAATGGATGTGCATACAACACTTAGTTTCTGGAACAGGACTAGAGTCCAGAAGTGGGCAAACAACCAGAACTTTCAACCGGAGTTTACAGCTGGTGAATGCGAAGAAGAAGAAGAAGAAGAAGATAGCCTATCAGTAAACCATATTACAGTGTGCTAAATCACCCTTTAAGGTAAACATAAGAGAAGAACAGAAAAAGTTAAATTAATTTTTTTTTTTATATAACGTTTATTTATTTGATGGAAAAACATGTTAGTAGACAGACATTGTAGGGAGCAAGATAAAGTTAAAAAAAATCATTGAACTAAAAATCAATGTATTTATTATAGATAGAATACTAATAACTAATTTATTTAAAACAATCAAGGATGAAGAAATTGAAATTATCACAAACTTGGAATATCTTAGCTCTATCAATAAACAGCAATGGAGACAGCTTAATAGAAGTAAAAAGGAAGATGCCCTAAATAGTGTGCAGGATCTTTTTTTTTTCCCCCAAGAACTCTCCACAAAGTTTATAAAAAAATGCTGGTACTCAGTACAAAGCAGCACTTAAAAAAAAATGCATTTAAAAAGGTGTCAGTATTTTGTACCATTGCAAACTGCCAAACAAATAAAGCCCTGGTAAAGCAAAGATTAAACAGTATCAAAAACCTATCTCTTTGATATTTTTGTACACACGTATAATGACTACAGTCACATTACACTATTATTTATTCTTGTCCATCAAGTTCTCTTTGCTGATAATGTATCCTTAGTTATATGTTGTGTAGTCTTTGTTTCAAACGAGACGAGGGTTCGAAGACAACTTATCACAAACATCAAAAATAGACAGTCATCATTTTTTGGGTCATGTTGTGAGAAGAGGAGAAATGGAACATGCTGTGACCATTGAAAAGATCTGTGGAAAGTAATAGATGGAGATTTTTCTAATGATGGCAAAAACAAATCCTAACCTGTACAGTTTGTGGTGAGTCTACTAGCCATGCGACCTTAAATCCTTAGGCTCATCAAAACCCTATGGTGTCCATATGAGAGCTGTTCATGCAGTAAAGACAGTTTTTTTCCCCCTAGTCAATGCCAAATTTCAGTGTAAGTGTGTTCACCTTTTTAATCTTATGTGTAAGAAATACACTGGTGTGTGTATATGTGTGTGCTCTCTGTTTGTTTGTGTTTATCTCTTGCAAGTGGAGTTAATGCTTTACGATGATTAGACTGGCACAAGAATGAACTTGAAGACTTAAGTTTTCTGATTTCACTGAGTCACATGGTTATTTACTTGCAGACTGGGACTATTCAATTTTGTAATGCATTTTTCCCCATCAATTTTATACTGACAAACACATTTAATATTTCATTTTTTGGGGGGTCATATTTTGCAATTATTATATTCATTTTCACTATGAAATTAACTCTTTGAGTCCCAGGGGGCTTAGCATCAGAGGCCAAAAGGGTAGTCAAAAGAGACATAAATCGGCGCATCTTGCATTCATTGGGCTTTTTGTTAGAAACCTATGGACGTATGAGACGTTCCTTGGGACTCAAAGAGTTAATTACAGTCAATTCCTAATTTATATTTTCACCAGCAGTCAAATATATCTGACAAACAAAAGTGTTAAAGCCTGAAAAAAAATTAGGGAAAGCAACACAAAGGTCCAAGTCCATTTTCCCAATAGCAATGAAATAAACATACACAGTGTGATCCTCACCAGTTTCACAGTTGTCCCCCATGTGTGCCCATGGATCACTGCACAAACAGGTATAATGCACCCAGTTTTCCTGGCACACTCCTCCATTATGACATGGGTTGGGCCAGCAGGAGGACATACAACCTTTTGACACTCCATTCATGCTAAAAATTATGGAAGTTATGCAGGATATAAAAATCTTGTAGCAATAAAGGCTGAGATATCTCAGGAACTAATTCATTACAACATCAACCAAAACTTTTTACAAAAACTTACAAATACAGCTTTCACATTATTCTAAAAGGTTATTATTGCAAAATTGAAAGCAACCTCTGGAGTTGCATAATTTTATTTTCAAGCTGGGCACAACTCTGTCCCAGGATTAATTCAGCAAAATGAAAGCAGCAACATCTTGTGCCCCCCCCCCCCCCCCCCCCCCAAAAAAAAAAGTGTAGTGTCCTTGAAGCGCTTGACAGACAGACACTTTCCTTCCCCAATTTCACCAACAGCTTCAAACTCAAAACCCAGAAGAAGGTGCACAGAGTGTAGAAACAGATAAATGGATAAATCCAGAAAATTAAAAAAGGCTACAACAGGACCATGACAAGTTACCATTATAGGGAATGTCAGGTGCCACAATGCTATGAACTGTACATTCTACCTTAAAATGTTACAAATGTGAGTGGCATATATGTTTATTTTTTGTTGCATTGATACTGAATTGCAAACGATCTTATAAATTGACAAAACAACCCAATCTCATGTTTTATATGTCATGAAATTTAGTCTATATATCGCTGTCAGATAAAAAAAAAATTATGTTGCCTTTTCTGCATAATATATCCAGCCACATGATGATGATGTCGAACAAAATAACATTGTTTTTCTTGACTTTTGTTTTTCATTCAGTTTGATGAAAAAATACAAAATGTGATAAGTGTATGTTGAATAGTTGTGACTGAAGCTATAGCATTTTTGTTAGTCTGTTTTGTTGTCAAAAAAAAAGATTTTTCGGTTGCCTTTGCATCAATAGACAGCCTGTTAGTAGCTATGGGAAGCTTGCATGTTAATTTGTAGGAACAGATTTGTCCAAACACCACTACACTTACCTTCCATCAATGAGAGCGGTTAGGTCTACAGTTTGCTGGTTGTACATGAAGCCATAGAGACAGCCAGTGAAGCCAGAAGTACTGTCAACTACAGGATCATTTGTTCTGAAATTATTGAAAATCTTTTAGTACGTTCTTGGAATTTACATTCAAGTTTTCAAGATGTTACTGACAACAACAAAACCAGTTTACTGGATGTTATATGACCAACATCATAAATTTTTTTTTTTTGAAACTTGTTATATTTTTGGCCCAACAATATAACCAGTTTACTAGATGTTCATGACAACATCACAACAAGTATAACAGATTATATTTAACTACTTACTTACTTAGTCACTCCTCTTCTATCTTGGAGTGTAGAGGTATTCCTGAGAGATCGTAAGACGTCTCTATCAGCAGTTTTCTTTCTGGCTTTGTTCCATTCCAGTGCTCTGTCAGGGACTGTCAGATGTTGTCTTCCAAGGGCTGCCCTGGAGGTCTGGTTCCCTGGTTCTTAGCCTCCCATGCCTTTCACAGGGGCCGATTTTCTCCAATTCTGCTTATATGTCCAAACCATCATAACTGTGACTGATCCACTCAGGTTTGTAAGGACTGGGTATCAAGATCTTGACGTATCATCTGATTGTGGACTTTGTCCCTTCTTGTCACATAACAGATGATACTGACTCAAAATCTTGACTATTTTATTATATTTATTGGCTCAACATCATTAACAAGTTAACCTTTGTTACTGACACAGTATCCCTTTAGTTTACTAGATTTTGTTGTTGTTGTTCGTCCTTCCTGAGTGATGAAGACCATTTTTCATCCAAAGTAGTAATGATCAATGATTATATGTATGAAGGTGGCTGATTAGTCCAATATGAGCCTGGAAAGTTCTTGAGCAGTGTGGCTGACAATAGGGGGAAGCCGCAGTAAGTATGGGATTAGCGATACAGTTCTTTCTTGTCTGCCTCTGCTTCTCTGCCCGTGCAACCTCTGCTGCCTGGCAGGCTGATGCACCAGAGGAATGTACGCCACCACCACCCTCTTCTTCTTCTCCTGCTCCCCCTCCTCCTTCTTCTTCTAACTTCCTCATTTCAAAGAACATATATGGTTCTGCTTCTTGCTCCTTGACCATAATATTCCTTATTTATCTCCTTCTGCCACTCCTGCAGCCCTTCTCAGATATTTACTCTATTGCTATATTCAGGTTCTGCTTCTTTTTCCCATTGACATTACCTCTGTTTTTTCAGTGTTAACTCTCATATTATTTTAATAGATTTTACTAACTCAACATCATAACCAGTTTACTAGATGTTACTGACTCAACATCATAACCAGTTTGCTAGACTGGATGTTGAGCTGGAGGATTATTGACCTCTAACTGGTGCAGTCAAGCACATACTGTACAAGTTAGGATTTAAGTGTGCCCCTGGCAGAAGAATTTCCTTCATCTTACCCAGGATTACAATTTGGGTTTTCCTAATTAAAACCCAGCATCTGAACAGCATGAGCAGCTACTTCTGATAAACAGACAATCAGCTCTCAATATGCCTAGTGGCACATGAGGCTTCAGAAAGGATTTCCATGCCTTTCTGTCCTGTGCAATCTTCAGTGCAGTTTTTCCATGACAAAGATGCAGCACTCAGTTCACCTTCCATTTTCGTCTCCATGTTGTTTTTAGGTGACCCTTCTTTCTCTTTCCCTCTGGTGTTCAAATGAGATCTGTTTTTGGCAGGTATATCAGGATTCATTCTCATGACATGGCCAAGCCATTTCCATCTTATCTTTGTTTTCATACTGTCAAGAGTTTCTTGATTTGTGACTTGAAGTAGTTTAGATGGGGGTAGTCTGGTCAGAAATGTGAAAAAAATGGGTATCGTTTTGTTTTTAATGAATAACCAACTAAACATTAAAATATCTTCTTGAAATTTGGTGAGCATATGCTTGATACATGACAGTTCACTAATGTATCATTTGTTTTTCTTGCAAACTTGTTTAAATTATTATTAAATTGAAAATAATGTACAAGTAAATTAAAAAAAATTGATGTTAGTCTTATGCAGATATTTTCTAAACTAACCTAACAGGATTCCTGAATTTTGGAGTCAGAGCAGTTCACTGCTACAGTTAGATTCCTTACCTCTAGTTTGTTTGTACTAGCAATAGTTTTGAAGTTATGAAGTTGTAAAATTTGGGCTAAAATGACTAGCAAATTATGAAATTAAAATACTTATAATTCAACTTGCATCAAATATTTCTCAAAGCTGGTGGTAGGAATCATAGCTGTTATTGTTTTAAAGCTGTGTACCAAAGTTGAATAATTTATCTCCAATAGTTTAGAAAAAAACACACCAAAAAGTTAGTCACACCCCCTAAATTTTGGCAAAGTTTTCAGACAGTTTTGAGAGAGAAAAATTGTACTTACTCGGCTTGAATGAGCTAATGTCCTCCAGGTAAGTATGGTAAACCTTCCTGGTGGGCCTGCTTCTCATCCCTAGTAAGTCTACTCCGCCTCCTAGCTATTCTGGCTGCATGTGATGCTGATATAGCGCGCCGTTGAGCATTTTTTATGCGTCGCATATCCTTATGTAGAAAACAGTCTTTAGCAAACTGTCCAACCATGAGCTGCAGTCCCCTCATAAAATCCAAGAATGTCTTAGCACCATCATTGAATACACTCACTGCTATTGAAACAGCTGTTTTCACTGTAGTCAGTCCATGAGCTTTTTTTTAGGGCAATATATCCAGATGAGGCTGTTAGCACTTTCATTTGCGTTCTGTGTATAACCTTCTAAACACTTGCGTAAAAGATCTGGATGTGCAAGATCCCTAAAGATGGGTTTTATGGTATCCATAACTGCTGTGGGCAAGCTAGATTTATGTTTGTAAGAATCTAACTTGTTTTCTGATTCAGCCTTCTTATAAGGACAGACAGGTGAGCACATATTATGTTGAGGATTTCCATCAGTTGAAAGTCTGTGAAAATAGACTGCCCACACATGTTGTCTCATCTTAGCAAGATTGTTTTTATTTCTATGAATTGCATTCCCATACATTGTTTGAATCTGATCAATTTGTTTATCTGTAAGCCTTCCTTTTCCATCTAAGCCTTTTCCGTCTTCTAACTTTCTTCCTTTCATGCTTTTTTTTAAGTTGCGGAGACGGGTGCCCATTTTTTTTTGTACGTGTCCCACACATTCTATTTTATCAATCGGTATGTCTCCATATGGTTTGGAATTAACTACTGCTTTGTATGTGTTTGTATCTCCATCGCCTATAAACCTGGTATACATAATTTGTCACCGACCTTGCTAAAATATCTTTGATTATTTCTGCCTCCATCGATCCCGAAGAATCCTTATGTGTGAATGTACATATGTCCTTGTGTTCTGTAGCCCATCTAATATAGCCCGTCGTACTTTTATCTCTTCATTTCCAAACATCACAAGACTTGCATTGCTTACATCTTGTCCCTGTGTCAAGTATTTTGCCTGTTTGACAACCAATAGTTGTGGCAACTCTTATCACTGATGAGTGTCCCGGGGTCATCCAAGTCCCATCTGATGACACATCAATATGACGGATGTCATCCATCTGTTCCTTATTTTCTAAACATTCAGCTAAAGAAAATTCATTCATGGCAGCTGCATTTCTCATAGATGTACTCTGTACCTCTGTTGCTGCAGCCTCTATTTTCTTATTAATAAGACTATATGTGCTTTTGCTGACAGGTGGTGGTAAATCCATAACTCCGCAAAATGTCTGCAATTCAGATCTGTCACAGCCAATAGTTCGCATTGCAAAAACAGCACGCTGATTTATACTACTGACTGTCCTTCAATGATTTGTTCGCATGTAGGGAAAGCCTTTTGTCCAGAACATCTTTCATTGTTGCAGTGAAATGCAAGTTTACTTCCTAAACCTTGCCTCTGAATTTCAACTAATCTGACACTTTCATGACAACTTGCACACACTAATTGTGATGAAATATTCTCACACAAAATGTCCATATCAATAATTCTGTTGCCACTGTGAACAAGTTCAGATAAATGACCCTTTTCACTTTCATTGTCACTATTAAAGTCATCAGAACACTCTTGTTTATCCTCTAGATCTTCATTCATAATGCTGTCCATAAACAGTTTATTTTCTGATGTAGTGGGCGTGGCACTAAAAGATTCTGAAATCAGATGATTTTCTTTGTCTTCAGAAACTCAGCAAGCGTCAGCTGGTGAAACACGAGGCTGCAATTCAATGTCTACCAGTTTAGGTTGCTTCGAAGCAGAAGTAAACTGATTTCCTCTAAATTTCCTTTTCTTTGCAACTTTACTCCTCTGTTTTGGAAATGATGGCATAATTCTAAACTAAGTATTGACACAAATAACTCGATAATAACTCACAAATCATAAAATTTCCAGCTTCAATCAACGGAAATAGTAAGGGGAGAAATCCTTATTTTTAAGAACCAAGAAAAAGGGAGTGATTCATTGTTTTGGATTGAAAAGAACCATAAAAAGAAAAGGAACTTTTTTATAGAAATTTTTGTCAAAATTGCCTCCTTGAGCTACCCACACACACCCATTTGTAATCAAATTATCTCAGGTTCTATTGATCGGATTTTAAAGTTGTAAACCGCACATGAAAAGAGACATATTTATCTACATGGTTAGTGGCATAGAATATGTTAAAGCAAAAATATGATATTTTTCAAATTTCTGATCAGACTACCCCCTTTAATATAATAAACAGACAATAATAACTGCTGAAGCAAAATACAAACTATTTTTAATCTGACAACATTTCATGTAGATAAGACCAGCAAACACATGAAATACATATTTCACAGATATTTTCTAGGAACATTATAGATTATTGTAGAAAAAAGTGGCATACTTGTAAGGGACTCCTCCAAGATATAAGATGCCACTGAAATCTGCAATGTTGTCAATGTCTTTGGGAAGTTCAACAAGCACCCTTATAGAGTCCAGTGTAAATCGAACATTATGTGAATCATGTTCTATAATGACCACATGCCAGTCTCCGTGATCTAACCGGTTCAGAGATGTCAGGGTTTCTTTTATTTCTGTGTTTCCAAAACTCAGATAAAATGTCACCTGGAATTCTATTCAAGAAGATCAGACAAATAGAAATCTCATAAAAAAACAAACATAATTTAAATCCAGCCAAAAATGATTAACAGGATGTAACTGGGAAGTTCAATGGCCAAACTAGTGTGATGACCAAATAATCTATCAAGCACTTTGGTCTATGAAAATGTGAGTTTTAACATATTATGCCTGCTACAGCAGCTGGCATGAAAAGAGTTGTTTAGTTTACTTTACTTTTGCTTCAACTGCTTTGAATTCACAAATTCTGGCTAATTCAAAGAAAATAAAGTATTAGAATAATGTGTTATTTCAAGGAATTTCCTATATTAGAATCCAACAATTTAGGATCTAACTACTTCATGATTTTGTACATCTTTGGGCTGACTGAAATTAGATCTAGACAGGTGATGTGAGTGTGTGTGTGCGTGCGTGTGTACGTGCATGAGTGCGTGCGTGTGTGCATGTGTATGTTTTCTGCTGGAACAGTCATCATCTATACCTTAAGAAACTTGTTGCATGAGGAAAATCATCTATATGTATGCCAGATATGCTTTGGTGTCAATTCTTAAATCAGTAATCCTTTACAGTATTTTTGTTATTTCATGCCAGCTGCCGCAAGCCCAGGATGATGATGCTTCAGATTATGCTCAGAATATACTATGCACATATCAAACAGCCAGGATTTATTTGAAACTCTAATTCAGTGTAGATCATGTACTAATATATTTTCAAGAACCCTATCTCTATAAGCCACAAAAGAGCTAACAGGAATCCACATGACAATGACCATCCAGAAAAAAAAATGACTAATATACACAAAAATTAAATTATCAATTTGTGTTGCTACAATGGAGGTTGCAATGTATGCACTGCTAAATTAGGGAATATTATGTGGTGCGGCCCAGTATCTTCCCTGCAACTCTCATATCACTGTCTGAAGACTATGAGAAAAGTCTTTTTTCTTAAACCACTGTTTCAAAGCCATAGGAACAGACTTTCTAAATGATCCAGCATGGGAATCCAACACTGGTACATGTCAAGTATTGCATGTTGAAATTATTTCACTGATCTTTAAGCCACAAAGCCACACAATATATGTATACACAAAAGAAAAATTATCTTCCAGGTTGACAAATAAATGCATGTGTGCTTGACAATACAAACCACAGGACACATACCTGAGATAATCTTAATATAAAATGTGTTGCCCTTGCTGTTACTGCCATGAAATGCTGTCTCCTCTTGCAGATTGTTACTGTGATACAGGAGGACTGAGTTGGTCTGGTGAGTTTTAAAATTCACTCTCAGATCTCCCTTTCTCCAAGCATGGAGTCTGACATAGCTATCACTATGAGTGATTGTGACTGACTGGTCACTTGGTTGCAAATCTGTAAAGTTCAACATATGAGCATTAGTTACTGCATGAGTAAACTAATAATAAGAATGGGCATGATATGTGATTTCATGCTTGTAGAGTTACTAAGGGAAGATTGTAGGACTTATGGATCTTTCTGGAGTGATGTAATGATAAGCTTCACTAATCACCGAACTATTTATTTACAGTTTTGGAATACTACAATCTTTCTCTGAGAAAAAAATGTTGCTGGCATGACTTTAACCAAGTCACCCACCAAGGGTCAATTGGTCTATAAAAATAGAGGTCTATCATCCGGAGCCCGTTGTGCCACTGTTGAAGAAAGGAAAGTGTCCTTTCAATTACTTACTAGTCTTAAAAATCATAGAACTTGTTTTGTTTTGTCTATATCTTCAAACATCAAAGCTAAAAATACTGATGGGAAACAGCACTGATGTGATGTTGTTGTCATTGCCATACAGTTTTTCTTCAAACGGAGTGGGTGTAGGATACAAAAACCACTTTTATCATTGAATTCTGTAAGTCATCAATATATTGCAACTGATTTCAAAGAAGAAAACAACAAGTTAGGAATAGGAATATACATCACAAAATGGAAACATCCAGAACAATTTCAGCTTGAGAATCAACATTCTTTGATGCAGAAACAGTCGCTGTTCTAAAATCCTAGAAATGGTCGATGATAACTTCCCTACAAAGGCTGACTGTTTTAATGGATTTCCCATCTATGGTAATGGCTCTGAATAATACACAGATATGTAGTAGAATTGACACAGCAGATGAGATTTGTGTGTGTCTGTGGCTATAACTAATCTAAATACAAGAGGATGCTCAGTATTAATTATGTGAATGCTGGCATGTGCAAACTGAAAGAAATGAGAAGGCAGACAGAACAAGCAGAACAGATAATAATAAAATACATGAAGCTATAAGTAAAGATTATTTTAAATCAATAATTAAAACAATTATTTACAAATTTAAATGTGAAAAACCCACAGAAGCCGGTGATATGGAATAAAATGGTCATGCTGAACATTCGGGTGAACAGTGGGGAATACTAGAGGACTACATTCAACCACAAAACAAATATACACAATTAATAACTAAAAGAATGCTAACACACAAGAAGCATACCTTAAACAGTTACAGAAGATTAGACAAGACTAACTAAAGATACTGATTCGTAAAGAAGGAATGGGAAATGTTTAAAAGATCAATTTTAGAAGCAACAAGAGACACATGTGGAATGGTAAAGAAGAGAAGCACAAGACCACTAACAACACCCTGGTGGAATGAGGAAGAAAAAACAGCAGTAAAGGAGAAGAAATGTCGATACCAGGTGTGGCCCAGAAGTAAAAATCAAGATGATCTTAAAGAATGCAGAGCGGCAAGAACATTAGCCAGAGATATTGTCAGAAAAGCCAAAGAAACATCATGGCCGGAATGTTAAACGCAGATCCAAAAAATGCTACGAGAAACTTTTACAAGCAAATTTAAATTATGAGAGGTAGGAACAAACAATTTGACCCAACAGAAATTATAAATGACAAGATGGGAGTACCCTTAAACAAACCACAAAAAGTCCTAGAAAGATGGTGTCAACATTTCAACGATCTACCTAATTACAATCAGAGGAACGCAACACAAGAAAACAATGGTTACCTAAAGACAAATTTAGAACCAAGCATAACACTCACAGAAGTCAGAAAAGCTGTAAAAGGTGCACCTTCCAACAAAGCTGATGATTTACCTACTGAACTATTCAAAGCAACAGAAGAGGTAGGCATACAATTGATGCACAGAATGTTCAACCTAGTCTGGACAACACAAGAGACACTGGAGGACAGAAGAAATGCAATAATAGTACCCACCTGGAAGAAGAAAGGCAGAAGAGAAACTGTGGGAAGTATAGAGGGAAAAAGGTTGTGCCCTATCATTGAACCACAACCTAATGAAAGGCAAATGATATTTCAAAAGAAAAAATTTTGCACTGATGCAATATTCACACTTAGACAATTAGTGGAAAGGAAAGTAGAATTTGATAAAGAATGACACATCACATTTGTAGACCAAGAGAAAGCTTTTGGTCGAGTTAACAGGAATCAATTATGGAAGGTAGTACATGATTAGGGAGTAAATGAACATCTGATTAAATTGTGCAAGAGTTTATACATTAACAGTCAATACACACTTAGAAAAATACAGGAATGTCAGAAAAATTATTCATTCGATCTGGAGTGAGACAGGGGTGCATTATTCACCATTATTGTTCATCACATATGTTGACCAAATTTACAAATTAGCTAACACCAGTGAAGGGGACAACATCGGAAAATTACTAAATGGACTGCTTTTTACTGATGACCAGGCATTCATAGCACCAACAGCAGTACAACTACAAGAACATAATAACAGACTTCATCAGAATATGACAACTATGATATGATGATCAAACGTAGACAAAACAGAAGTGATGACGTTCTCCAGAAAAAGATGAACCACCAAATCAAAATTGATGAACACCAGTTAAAGCAAGCGAAGGATTTTACATATCTGGGGATCATTTTTTTTGCAGAAGACGGAAGAATTAATAAAGAAATCCAGCAAAGATACATTAAAACCAATCAAGTTTAAGGCCAAATGGTACCAATTTTGAAATGCAAGTATGTGAAAATGAACACTAAAAAAGAACACTGTTCAACACAATATTCTTACCAACGCTATGTTTTCAATGTCAAACATGGACACTGTCTTCAGAAGACAGAAGGAAATTGTAACAACAGAATGAAATGTTTATGTACTATTCTAGGTGTAATAAGGAAAGATCAGCTTAGGAACAACCACCATATCAGAAGGAGAGTCTGCATAAAACCAATACTGAACTTTACAGGTAAACAGCAAATCAAATGGTTTCGGCCATGTAGCAAGTTTGGCATCAGACAGGGCACCACAGAGAGCAATGTTATATAGATACAGAAGTAAGAGAGCCAGAGGTCGACCGTGCAAATTATGGACCACAGAAATATCAGAGACACTGAAAAGTACTTTATACGAAGAGAACAGAAGGGCCTGTCCCAGAGATCTCTTCCTGCCCTGACACTGCAAGGTATTCCAGGAGTAGAGGAAAGAAGAAGAAGAAGATGAATTAAATGCTTGAAGAAAAGACACACATGCACAGTTTTAACCCTGTCACCCCAGCAAGCCACAAAACTGACACTTGTGGTTGGATCCAGTTCCCTGTGAATGTCACTTTCCCTACCTCTCTAGAATGACATCTTCACAATATGCCCAGTTAATGCTTGGCTGAATTTCCACCTGTCCATCATTTAGGACTTCAGGATATGAATATATTACTCAAATAGTACTTAGAGGAGGGGGAGGGAAGGTGGTGTGCTGGTGAACCAAATAACTTTCATAAAGCCACATTGATATCATGATGTTCATGTAGCCTCAGTAATATAGAGGTCATCTGATACATATTATTTAGGTCCCCCTAAAAGTATTCAATTTAATGTTTCACTCCTTTAATGTTCACTGATTACTTCCACTATATATCTTTATGTAATACAAAATTGTTAAAATACAGATGAATAAATGTTTACAACATTTTTTAGTGACTTTATACCATTTTTAATTTAAAAAAATTTTCCTAGCAATTTTGACAAGTTCATAACTCGTTTTGTTAAGCATTCCCCAGGCTACACTGTTAATAACTTCAAATAGAAAATGCCTAATAACTCATTAACTAAAATCCCTTTCAATATAAAATTATGGAGACTGCAACTTGGAGTGGCTTATTTCATTTTCACAGAAGATATCTACTTTGAATATCAGAAACATAATTCTACTAATCATTATTTACTATATATAGAAATATGATCTTCAAAGGACTACCCTTAATGATAATTTCTTCAGGCTATGCATGGTGGGTAATGAACAGGCAGACAGATTGGCTGAATCTGCACCACTGGGTGGTGAATTGATACATGACAAGGCAGATGTGGTCAAGGTTCTTTGGGAACAAGCAAAGGAATCAGAAAAAAGATTATTATGGCTAGGAGAGAATGAGGCATCTGGGTGTAACCAGCAGCTCTGGCCGGCTCACTACACTCAGAGGAAAGGCAAGACAAACATATAACCAGATTGTGACCGGTACTATCTGTATTGGAACTCTGTGCTGACTGCTGCAGATGAGGACGGAGCATGCATGGGAATGCCCTGAGTGCTGTGATGTCAATTCTTGACTTAACTCAACTTCTTAATGAATACATTACTCACTGAGAATGATTAAACAGTAAATCATACAAACAAAGATTTGCATTTAAAGTGTTAATATTATGTCATAAGGTTGAATAATGCTTTCTGAGATCCCTTAAAATATTCCCATAAATAGATCACACAATATGATTATTACAATTAATATAGTTTAAAAACTACACTTAACATATATTAACAGTAAATAATTTAACTATCTATGCTGTTTCAGTCTATTGCAATAATGTATTATATATGCAAGGTAAATGATGAGCATAAATATTCAATACTAAAATACAAAAACAAACTACATATTCCATTTATAACCTAGATGGCTTTATCAGGGTATCATTGTATAAATACTGCTACTATATACAAGCAAGATTCTGACCACTGCCCCAGCATTTCAAAGGTCCAAGTGTCATTTCTGCAAATCCTTCGTCATTCTGAAGAAATGTAAGCTCCATAATAGGTAACTGATGTCGCATCCGGTTAAAACCCTTATCACTCTGGGGCTTTGGGGAACCTGTGGGTAATAATATTTATGTAAACATGTGGCAACCTTGTAGGAACACAGCAAGGTATTTGCTATAACTTGGCTTCAAATGAAAACCTTAAATGCATGAAAGACATTACAAAAACTATGCCATCGTTCTGTAACTCTTTAGTGTTGTTTTTAAGGATGTCAAGAGTATTGAGCATGTAGCATAATGGTGCAGACAAACCGGTGATGTCACATGACAATTTAAAGCCAGCCACTCTAATTTTGACATACAACAATGAGGAGCAGTGCTCTATTATCTTTGTGTGTGTGTGTGCTCAGTGAAGGGGTGAAAGCCATAGAAATTAATCAGTGAATGAACGTATGTTCTGCTGGACTTTCTCTAGCCACCTCTTGGTGTTAACTGAAGGCATTATACTGCTATTTCCTAGACTGCTTTCCCCTTAATCCTCCAGTATGTTTTTTTACAAGGAGTGTTTTGTCGGTTAATGCAGCTGAAATATTTCACTTGTCTCTTAATAATTTTTCTCATTAACCCTCTTTTCTTTCACATGTTCACCTTAATCTCTGCATCTGATGGCTTTTGCTTCCATAAAATACAGTCTATTCCCCTGTACAGCCACTCTCTAATGTTTTAAGTTTTCTTATTAATTAAAAGATCAACAATAATTTTAAAATATGCAAACCTTCATTAATATATATCAATGTGTGTTTTTTAGTCTCCAGATAAAAATTTAGGTTTTAGGGAGGCTGGGATGAAAAGAGAGTTGATTTTAAAAACAACAAAAACAAAAGCAAGTGGAAGCTTTTGGTCACATTAAAAGACAATACATTCTTATAAAAACCACAACAGAGGCAACAGTTTAAGGCGAGCAAGAGACAGAGATTGATGATGATGATAATATGTCTCATGTCAACCTCTCCTTATACATAAATCAGGTTAATAAGTTAGTTTTGTATTCTTTACAGGACGTTGGAGAACCAACCCTAACAATTTTTGGCTGTTGCGGTTTTTCTAGGAAAATTTTACATTCAGTAGTCTGCCACTGCTTTCTGAACAGTCAGGTCTCAGTACAACTGTCGAAACAAAGGCAAAAGACAAATCGTCTGCAGCTGGAATCGAACCTGGCACCATGGCATTATGAAGCACGTTCACAATGCCTAAGCCACAGACGCCAACAAGTCAGGTTACTGTGTTACTATTCTTTGCTTCTTTTTAGTTTCTGGTAGCACATTTCAGTAAATCAAAGGACTACACTAAACAGAATATATGACTTGATGCAACAAGCCTATGACAATTGAATACATGCCGGGGATAGACAACTTTAGAGAACTACAAGAAAGGATGCAAGAATAAAGATTTGCACATGAGGATTAATACATCCTAAGATAGAATAATGGTTCACCACATCACTAACTTTAAAAATTCCTAAAGATAGATTACACAGTATGACTATCACAGATTTTTTTTTTTAAGGTTCACTTAAAATATATTCAACTTAGGAATCTATATATCTACAACCTGTTACAATTACTAATAAGAGAAGCATAATTATCCCATTTCAAAATAGAAAAAATACCTTTATATATCCCTTGATAACTCACAAGGGTTTAACAGAATATCAGTGTTTGAATTTCTACTACTATTTCAGCAAATATCTTTAAGAAGTAATTATAGCTCTTCTTTATCAATACTTGTACAATTTGGAAGAAATTAAATAATAGAAAAAAATGTACATAAAGGAGGTCTCTGATCTCCCCCCCCCCCCCCCCCCCCCCCTCTTCCCCCCTCCCCAAACCTTCTTCCAAAACATTTGGTTTTAGAACATATTTAAAAGCAGTGTCAGAAACACTTTAGTGAGGAAAACAAATTTTAGCATACCATGATCGCAGTAACAATGTTCACCATCGCAGGCCGTATCCTTAGGACAGTTGCAATATCCTGACGTATGTGAACCAATGTAGTCCACTATCTCCCCATTTGTAGATTTGAACCAGGTTTTTTTGCTTAACCTGTCATCAACATAATGTTTGAAAATATTGTTAGTGGCAAAAATAAACTGCTGTAAAGAAATTATCTATGCAAATATATGGGTATTTAAAATAGATAATAGATTATTTAAATAAACTTGATATTCACGTAGAAGTGGAAGTATTAACTAACTAGACAACAGGCCACATCCTCTCATAAATAGGTCTAGTTTATTTTCACTCAATAATTTGTATTTCAAAGCAGTATTGCTCATGATTCATTTATTTAACTGTACTTTACATGTACTTTATTGTATCTGACAACAGTCACAGTGAATTCTGACTTCTCAAACAACATTGAAATTTAAAAAAAGAAAGAAAAAGGAGCTTACCTAATTGGGGATTTGGTACAGTCATACTGCAGATACTGTTCACAACTGCCGGATGTTAAAGTCAGCCTTGTTAGCTGGTCTCTGGACATCTCCCTGAGTCAGTGTGTAATGGAATAAACAAGTCACTGCTTTAAAAAAAACAAAAACAATGCAAAAATAATATTCAATGCTTAATAAGCAGAACATACATTAAACAACCGCAAGAAACTATTTTAGACAAGGTCTTCTTCTTCTTCTTCTCTTCCACCTTTTACCTCATCGAAGTGTCGGGGGGAGATGTAATGTTCTTTGATGAGCTCTGTCAAGAGCACTATTAAGATTGATATTCATTTCTGTAATGCTGTTCTTAATACCATTACTCCATCTTTTCTGAGGTCTTCCACTCGCTCTATACCCATTGTAAGGTTTTAGTGTGGCTCGCTGTGGCAGATAGTACCAGGGCATTCTTGTTAGGTGTCCAACCCTTGAGACAAGGTCACAGATATGTAATTCTAATGTAGGTAGCTTGATCCACACAGGCAGACACACAAAAAATAGAAGGATTGCTCTGTAGAGGTTTGAAGTTTGAACAACGGATCAACATCATGGCACACGGGGAGTAACCGATAAGTGCTGCCATTTAAGGCTGGGTCAGCCTGGAAGCCTGGGTCATTCTTGGAAGAAAAAAAAACACTGGCTCAATCAGGACCTGAACCCACGACCTTCAGATCCGTAGGCGAGTGTCTAGCTGCTACACCATGGTGGCTCCCTTGTATATGTAGCATTTAATCTCCACAGGCAACAGGTTATTGTTTTGTTTTCTGCCAGGATCAGTGACAGGGAACAAAAGTGGTGATCTTACCTTATTCATCATCATCTAGAACACACAAAGACCTAACACTTCAAATACTAATGGTGTCATCTGCTTTACAACTACATTTACCTTTATTAGATGATCCTAATTCTCTTACCTGTATTTAAGGTGATACTGGCTATCTGGCAACCATGGTGCCCTGACTGTAAAGTTAGGCTCAAAGTTGTGCTCCACAACTGTTACACCACCACCAATGGCTTCATCCATCTCACACTGAACAAAAGCATGATTCAGTGGCCCTGCTCCATCAACATCAATTGGGTAGACTCCACTCGACAGGTAGCCCATGCGATAGTATTCCTCACAGGTGGCAGCATATTTTGCTGTGTACAAATGAGTAAACTTAAGTAACACATGAATGTTAAATTAAGAACCAACATCCCAACACTCTGGGCATATGAATAATTTCTCCATCTTCAGCAGAAAGTGAAGAGTTTCAATTCCAGGAATACTAGCATCAGTATTGCGCCCGGGCGCAACAAAATGGTGGCTGGAATTTTTTAGTCTGGATTTGTTTACAAAAATTCTATACTTAACTGTCTAACGTGTACACAACATGTCAGGGTGGACAGTTCAGTCCCATATGCCGATCTAGCATACCAGAATAATTAAAATGAGGTGCTGAAGTCAGAGGCAACCAGCCAGGAGGCGCACCGTAAAAATCAGGATGTTACGCACAAACGGTATGGGAAATATATCTATATCTGCGAATAGATCAAAACCAGTAACAGTGTGACTGAATATTTATCCTGCTTTTCTCTGAATGGTGAGCATCGACCAGATTCCCTGTTCATTTTCTGCAGCACCATTCTCCTCAGACCAGGGTGACTGATTTGTGCTTCTGCACTGAACACCCACTCCATAAGAATCCTCACAGCATCTAGCTTGTTTTGCATTAATTCACCACCAAGTGGTGCAGAACCAGCTAGTCTATTTGACAGTTCATGTTCCAACACACTGGCATGAACTGGAGAAATATCCAAAGTATGCTAACTACCTGGGACTACTGAAGCAATGCTTGCCACTCTCCATGGAGCATACCCATCTCTACCTCTGTTAACATGCTCTGTTAATTAATTACAATTATGACACATGTACTGCTGGTTTTCAAGCCAACAGAAGCCTGTAGTGCCTGCCTCTACCTCCATTCTCAATCTAGATGTGGTGCTATAATATGTCAGGCTTTGTTGCACTACGTGATGTCCATTCACTTTTTCTATTAATTCCCATATATATATATACTAACAGTTTAATTAGTTAGTTAGCTAGTTAGTCAACAGATCATTTTCACTTCACATCAAATAATTCCATCCATTAGTGCTTCCCTCAGCATGTAGTGACTGACAACGTCAGTTCTGAATAGGTTTATTTTTATTATCCTTTGGCTTCCTACATAGTGATCATTCCTCACTCTTTTTTGATTTGCTGTTCTTGAGGTCTGGTCATGATTGCAGATTCAGTCATCACTTGATCTGAGGAAACACCTTTCTTCTAGTACACCATTTAGTATATCAATATCAGCCTAGTCCATTGTTCACAAGCCCATCCAAAAAGCATTGTTAGGAAGCATATGAGCTTTTTGCATTTCCCCTTAAATCTGCATGCCCTGGAAAAAAATAATTAAGTGGATTTTTCCAGCCATGCCCAACTCAGTTTGAAGAATGATAGATGAGAGCTTTAGCTTCTTTACACTAGGCTTCTGTCCACATGACTCAGTTCTCTGTGTGGGTTCAAAGGTCCAATTCTGGTAAAAGGAATAGCCCTACACCCCCCCCCCCTTTCCCCTAACAAGCATTTCATAAAAGGTGGCTAGCTGAGGGTGTTTCTTTCAAAGCCGGAGTGCATCTAAGGAACAGTCTGTTTTCAAATTAGCCAGATCTATTTTTTTTTAAAAGTTTTCTACATAAAACTCAAGTTCTCGAACAAGGCCAAAGTTCAGAAATGGACAAACAACCAAAACCTTCTGCCATAGTTTACTGTTAGTGAATGCTAAGAAGAAGACTAAGAAGAAGAAGAAGAAGAAGAGGAGAGTGGAGGAGAAGAAGAAGACCAGGATTAGTCTCTTTCTGCAGAGCAACACATTGCTTGCTGAGAATGTTGCAGAAATAAAAAACCCACACATCCAGCAAAGACCCCCTATGGACTGCCATAACACCTGTACTCATGAATTAAATGACAGTCTGAAACTAAACCTATAATCTACAGAGCAGTGGGCAGGCAGCTTAACTACTTTACCCTTTGGTGGTAAACAGGACTGCCACTTATACCTCAGAAGCATTGAATGTTGAATTAAGAATTAAAATCAGAGCACTTAGGACACTCCCATAAGTGTTCAGCCCCCATCTTCAGCAGCAAGTGAAAAGTTCCAATTCCAATGGTATCAGTAACCGTCTGATTGTATATCCGTCTCATACTTACCCTGAGTGTTAAGCGTCAACCAGATACCCTGGTAACTCCTCACAGCGCCATTCTCCTCAGACCATAATGATCTGTCTGCGCCTCTGCACAGTTTACTCGCTCCCAAAGGGCCCTCACAATATCTAATTTGTCATACATCAATTTACCACCAAGTGGTGCAGAGCCAGCCAGTCTGTCTGCCTGCTCATTTCCCAACACACCGGCATAACCTGGAAAAAATATCCGAAGAATGCTAACTATCTGGGACCTCTGAAGTGATGCTTGCCACTCTGCACGAAGCATGCCTGTTTTCACTTTTCTCAACATGCTCTGTGAGTCAGTTACAATCACTGTCTGTGTGTACAGCTGATTCTCAAGCCAGTGGAAGGCAGCAGAGACTGCCTCCACCTCCATTCTCAAACTAGATCTCAGAAACAAAAACCGATAATCAAATTATTAGATTAAAAATGACACTGTTGGAAATTATATAGAAGTAACAATATTTAGATGTAAACCAGAATTATGATAATACATATGAGTTAATGTATGACATTATGACATTACATATGACATTAAAAATAAACACAGCTAGGAAGCATACTTACAAAAATGGCATGCCTTCCCTTCATAATGCCCATTTTGACACAAACAATGAACACCATCCCAGTCAGACAAACATGCTGAGTTGTGCTCACAAATATGTTTCTTGCCACAGTGGTTGACAAGATGGCATCTGAAACAAAAATTTTGTTTAGAAGAATAACATCATTTGTGATATATTTTCTGAACTGATTAAAAAAAAAGGAACCCATAATACATCAGCTGCAAAGCAATGAGTGTCTATAAATTATAGGTACTACATAATTTTGCAGTAGACATGAACTAATCATCGTCATCTTCAACAATATACCTTTCTTCTTCTTCTGTCTTTTATCCCTTAAAGCATGTCCTACAAAATAAAAGGCCAAAGCATTTTTCAGGCCGTATTTTGCAATTTCCTGAATGTCCTCCCAATTGTCAGTGTTTTTAGATCTCCATCTGTTTATTTTCCCCTGTGTTCCAGAGAAAGCCTTTTCTAGCTGAACTATTAACAAGTTTTCTTACTGTCTTTTCCTCATCTCTTGGTTTGCTTGAATTATGTATTTCTCTCCATTAGCTCACATTAGAAATTCTTAGTCTTTCTGATTTGTACAGATGTAAAGTAAATAAATTTTTATAGTTTATTAATGGTTTTCAGTCATTTTCCAGTTTGTGGATCCATCTTGCCGTGCTGAACTGAGTTAGAGTGAAATATTCCAAGTTTTTTACTAGTTTTAATTTATGTTGACCTCTACAAATTTTCTAATGCTATGGATGCTCTTCTTTCCGTTAGCATTTTCACTTTAATATCTCTCTGTGCTGTTTTGTTGTCTATGTGTTTTGGCATATTTCCACTTTTCCGGACGATAATGTTATACTGTGCTATAGGGAAATACGGAAATCACAGCCCTTGGGATATAACTAGCAAGACCCACTTGCCATTTGACAATGACTTTTAACCCATAATTGCTGTCTCTCAATTCGTTTCAGAGGCCTGTAAAAGGCCAGGGATGATGAAGTTCCTTCTCTCCATAGTACAAAGTGGGTAGTATTGTAGAGACCGTGTATTGTCCATGCATCATGATCTCTCTCTCGGCATGCCTTCTTTATTCTAAAGGAAAAGTAACATCTATATGTTTGAAACAAAGCTGCTGGATCAGAAGAGCAGTGCTCTGTCCGCCTGCTGGAAATTCTCTCCTAGATCAGCTGCCTACAAAGGCTAAGGGTCTGGCCTGTCTTGTCCTTACATAACTTTAAGTTTCAGATTGTATTTCCTCTTCCTAGGATAAGGCTAGTATTCTCCTCAATGCACTCCTCCACCTGAAGCCACTGGCCCAATGTATGATGTCAGGTTTGGTATACACTGCCTAACATGTGGCATTATTAGAAAACCAATAGTACTGACTGTGTTATATCGTAGCTCAATCATTTCTAGCCAAGACCTGACAAGGCCTTTTGTCTATATTGCCATCTAAATTTGTGTGTGAAGCTATCTCTTGAAGTAAGGCTACACCAGGGAAGAGAATTCATTGATCTGATTTACCTGATGGGACTGGAACAGTTTGAAGAAAGTAATTGACTATTTTTATTCCAGTGGTTGACTGGTGACATACTACCACTCATATTCTTATAGACCAATCAGCACTTGAAGGTTGATGGGGTTAAGGGGCCAACACACAGCATTTTTGTTTCAAATTTATGACCAAAATATCACTTTTTCAATGTGTTCATTTTTGTAAAGTTTGGCATTCATAGAATAAATTACATACAAAATGTATGTCATTTGTAAACAATTAAGCATTGAAAAGTTAATATTAAAAACACCACCCCATGAACTTTTTAAAGATAAAAATAAAAGTTTTAAAGTAAGTTTTCTTACAGCTCTATAAATCTGTTTGTTGTGTGTGTAAAATCCTTAAATCTCAGATAATATAAAGACTAGAAACATGAAATTGGTGTGGATACTTCTTTTAAACAATATTATAGAAACACGGCTATTTAGAAGTAGATGTTAGAAAGTTTTTGAGAGAATCTGAACAACATGAATGACACTTTATAATCATTACAATTGTATACATATATATATATATATATATCTTTTTCTAAATCTCTAGATCAGACATACCCATCTAATAAGAGACCAACGGCAGCATCAGACTGTATGAGAGCAATGGGATCCAGTCTCTGCCCTTGTAGCTTAATTCCATGCATACAGCCAACATAACCATATCTCTCTGCACCAGAAGATAGAAAGTTAAAATAACAAGTATTACAAACAATTATGTGTTTACATCTCAAATCAGCTATAATAAAATCAACTCCGTCATAATAAACCACATGTAAAACAATTGTTTTCCCATCGTACAAGATGTGATATGCGCTTCTAATCACAATTTATTTGGGGTTCTTCTTCTTCTTTCATTTGCTTGGGGGCTGTGTGGTCTCGAGGCATGGTGTCCACCTCAAGTGCTAGAGGTTCCGGTTTCAATCCCCGGTAAAGGCTGTGATTTTTTTACGTGGCCTTGGACTTTAGTAATTCCCCCTGGTCTCTGGGTAGTGAAATCGTGTATGTTTATACCAGCATTACATTAACATATGTGTTTTTATAAATAATTTGTCAACATCTTTGGCTTAGGAAATATGAACAGTTTCATAATTCCAGTATATAAGGTTCAATTCAGCTGCAGGTAATTTTCTAACAATCTACTCTGTGTTTATATCAACACTAATATGAGCATCAACCAAACAGAAAGCAATGGCAAACCATTAAAGTAAAACTGCCAACCAAAACCACAAACAGTCAAAACAAAAATGCTGGGGTTGGTTTGCAATTTTTTGTAAAAGATTAATGAAATGAATGCACTCATTCCCACAAACACCTACTGTCAATCTGTCTCAAGCTGTAGCCAAGCACTACAGTTCCTCTGTGCTCCAAAATTCTATTGTATGCTGCGGAATACGCTGAGTTGCCATCCACTTCTAACTTGACTTTGCTGAAACAGAGTTAAATAAGTACATCATTCCTCTATCAGTGGTGTCTGACCAATTTTAAACTATGAACTACTTAATAAAAAAACTTTGGTAGGTGTAACAAGAAAAGATGGACTTAGGAGAGATGATATCAGGAGGAGAGTCGGCACAAAACCAATACTTCATAGATAGACAACAAATTAAATGGTTTGGCCATATAAAAGACTGGCATCAGACAGGGCACCACAGAGAGCAGTGGTAACAAAGCCAGAGGTCAACCATGCAGAATATGGGCTGCAGAAATATCAGAGACACTGAAAAATAAACGAAGCAAACATAAGAGCCTGCTCCACAGATCTCTTCCTGCCCTGTCGCCATGAGACCTTCCAGAAGTAGAGAAAAGAAGAAGAGTTACATAAAACTTACCAGAAAAATGATGACACAATTAAATTCTAAGTCACAAATTGCTCAATAACTGTTTATATGTTATGTACGCTTTTATGGGGAAGCAAAAGAATAGACCCACTGCCATCTAACAGTTAAGTAAAAAAGGTCAACTAATTAGGGGGTGTTTCCTTTAAGTCGGAGTGCATCTTCCTGAGAGGCAAGGAATCATCAGTACACACAGAAATAAGCTAGATTTGTAAAATGAATGTGCACATTCTGGAACAAGACCAAAGTCAAGAAGTGGATGAACAACCAAAACATTCTGGCAGAGTTTGAAGGCAATGAACACTAAGAAGAAAAATAATAAAAGAAACAAAATACAGAAATTATCCTTATGGGGGAAGATGTCAAGTCAGAAAAGCAGAATAAGGTCAAGAAAGATGTATGTGCGAGACCTAAATAGTTGAGCCACAAATAAAAACATAATCAATTTCATTAAAATAAATGACAGAGATGATTAAAGAGTCATGGTCACCAATGTCTGCTCCTGGCCAGGTACCTCTTTGAAGAGATACCAAAACATTGTTCTACTCCAAAGCATACTATTTTTTCCTTTACTAGTCTGTGCTGTTGCCATAAAGAAGGCTGGCTACAGTGTACCGATGCTGTCTTTGGGAATATTACATGGTGAGCTGACAATCTCTTCCATGGTGAGACTTCTGTACCCTTGTCTGAAAACCACGCACATTTTTTTGTAACCATCCACTGTGGGAACCGAACACTAGTACCGGAGGATCATGAAACTGTTAACCACATTTGCTAACCTCTAGGCCATGGAGCCATTTATTTTAAACAAGAAGAAGTACTTTCTCATTTTCAGAACTGAAATAGTAATTAACCTGGAGATTTTAGTGTATACATTTTCTTGATTATAAATTCTATGGGTGTTTTTAATTTTTATTTAATTTTCCAAAGTTACCAAGATATCTTGTCTTAAATCCTATACTAAACATTAGCATTGTGGCTAGGGAGCTTGCTTGCTCCATCCACAGAAAAGTCATTAATGCTCAGGCAAACTGGCCACCATGGTAGCATAGCAGATAGACACTCACTTGCTGGCCTAAAGATCTAGGGTTCAAATCTGCACCGAGGCAGATTTATTGGAAGGAAGTACAAGGAAACATAGTACTCAGTTTCATTGGCCTTAGTATAGGAAATGTAAAGGCCTAACACTTTATACGCCAGTCGCTGTGTCTGCTGTGTGACTACATCTTTTTTTTTTAAATTTTGGTAATAAACTACAAACTAAACATTAAAACATTTTTAAATGCCTTTGACATTTAATTTTAATTTTTAAAATCTGGCTTACTTGTTGAGTAAGAAAACCCTGATGTCATGAACTAAACCATCAGCCACAATTGTAGGCACAGTGACATTTTCATGAGTTGAGAGGTCTCTTGACGAAGGCTGGAACTGAGCAACTGCCAATTTGTCTGATATCCACAACTTGAAAATAGTAAAATACATAAATTTTATAGTAGCATAAAATTACAGTAAACAGTGAAATATGCCAGGCAACAAATTGTATCCTCACTATTTAAATAAAATTTCAGTCAGAAAAGCAGGTGTAAAGAAGGAAATGACACTAACAGGATAAACATAACATTATCTTATATAAATACACTGTACGGCGCATTAGCTAAGTTGGTTAAACCAGCTGCGCAGCGACCAGTTGACAAACTCCTTGTGGTCCGAGTTCACGATCAGGGGTAGGCAAAAAAGCCAAATATTTCTCAAATTTACAGTATCTATCATGGAATCAAGGCCTAAAGGTTGCGATATCTATAGTACCGAGCCAGAAAGTTTACAATTCATGGTTTCTGGAACTAAAAATATCTCTGTGTGTGTGTGTGTTTGTGTATGTGTCCTCGCGTGTGTGTGCATACATACAGTTATTTTGAGTGCTTTTTTGTTCTTTATTTTGTGTTATAGTTTCTTTTTTATAATTGTTAGTTAATAAAGGCTTGAAGTCTGGTTGCCTCAATGTCTTCTGTAACTGCAATTTTGCAAAATACTTTGTGCTTTCCAATTATTCACCACATTTACCAGCATGCAAGAGATGTTCACTAGCTCCTGTACACATCACCCGCTTTTCTGTACACTGGCTTTGTTTATGACAGTTGCTTTCTCTTCTGCTCTTTACCACCCCCCTCCCTACCCCTCCTTGCCCCACCCCCAAGCTCAATGGAGATCAGGTCCCCAACCAACTTATGCCAAGCTGTCCTGTCAGTTGCTACTGCATGCAGCTCATCCGATGTCCTCTTCTCTATGTCTTCTTTTTTTTCTCTGACCTGTAAGCTCTAGCAGAAAGACATTCTAGCTACACTGTTTCCAGGTTTTCTTAACTACTTACACTGTTCCCAGGTTTTCTTAACATGTGTCCTATCCAACATCAGCATCTTTTCCTCCCCTCTTAATTAACTGGAATTTTGTTAGTTCTCTCCCAGTGGTCAACACTGTGATTCTATACCACCCTTTAACCTCTCCTTTTTTTCCCGCAGGAACTAATTAATGACCGGCAGTTGTTACTTCTTTATTTATTTAAATATATATCTTGATCAAAATGATTCTAGGTATAATTTTTTAGAGATATACTGATATAAAGTAACAACTTTTTACATCACATATTAATTGAAAAGAGTGGATTAAAAACAAATACATCTGTCTGCAACACAAAGAGTGGTTTTAAAAAAAAACTGTCAGCAACTCATAGAGTTAATGGACAGCCAAGATTTACAAATTGTTATGTTAGATTACCTATATTAATCACAGACCAAGAGAAGGCATTCAACAGAGTTGATAGAAAAAAAGTAATCGATTGATATAAAACATGTGAATCTTTCACTGGCCAGTGTGCAAACATTTATTTAAGGATTGGAAACAATAGTTGGAATAAAAAAGAGAACATCAAAACTATTCACAGTGACATCCGGAAAAAAAAAGAGGCTTGCATCTTATCACCACTTTGTTTATCATGTACAGAAATAATACAATCAACGACACCAAGCTCAGGGATGAAAATATTAGTAACATCAATGAACTAGGTTGACTCATGACCAAGCTTTGATATCAGATATAGCCCTGCAATTGCAACACCCCACATGCATGAATAAAGAATGTAACAAAAGAATCAACACTAATAAGATAGTAGTTATTTCAATAGGAAGAAAGAAGCAGAACTTAAATATAGCAGTAGAGGCAAAAGTATTTAACCAAAATTATTGTTTAAATATCTGAGAACAACAATCATCAAAGACGGTAAATTAAATGAAGAAATTGTACTACACAAAAACAGTGACATCCTTTCTAAAGATCCTTCAACATGGGAAATGATCCAGGCATACAGCATAGACCTATAGCCTAACTATGCAGTCACAACAAGAATTCCAGGCATAAACATAAAGGCTGAAGAATGTGGCCTAGTACTGCATGCAAAGACCCTTGAATATGTCTACAATTCTTACCCAAAACCTGAATGGACACATGTATGCACCGATGGTTCACTAGAGGGAGCAGACAAAAATGGAGGAGCTTGATCGGTCATCATGCTGCAAGATGGGACTACAATAGAAATATTATGCGCCTCCGAAAGACTCTTAACAAACTTCAGAGCAGCAAGCAATTATTGATGCAACTAAAGTGCCTGAGGAAAGAAAAATTAAACACAGCAAAATTGTTTTCCCTTGTGACTGCATGTCAGTCCTCCAGGCGACTCACAGGAATCCACCAGACAAAATGGAGAGAGAACTGACTCGCCAGTTAAATAGACTCAAAAAACAATCAAATCGTTCTCCAGTGGATCCCGGCTCACTGCAGCATGCCAGGAAATGAGTTAGCAGAGAGGCTTGCAAAAAAATGGAACAAAAGAGGAACAACACACGTATTCAGTGTCATTACCAGAAATCAAAACACTCATCAAGGGAAAATACAAGAATTGTGGAGAGAACAAACCAACAGTAAACATCCACAAGACCCCATCAGCAAACTCAACAGAAAGCAACATACAACAATTTTCCTCCTACAAACAGGACACTGAAGGCTCATCTACCACATGCATAAAATAAAGACTATACAGTCTTCACAGTGTGCCTGTCAGACAGGACCACAAACACCTGAGCGCATTCTGCAGACCTGCACCCTCTTTGAAAAGAAACCTGGCCTCAAGAGCAAAGTGTTCAAAGCAAGCTATGAGGAACTATGAACAACCTGCAGCTGACATGCAAGTTCATAGAGGTAACCCACCTGATGGTATGATCTGAGCATACGAAACCGAACGCAAAGAAGAACAAAAAAGAATGAAGAAATTAACATCTCATGCAGTAAAACAAAGTATAAGAACAATGGTTCCCCCTCCCTCTCCCACACAGCATAATGCAGTCTTATTCAGCACAAAGAAACATCTGATACAAAGCATTTTCACCAACACTCTATGCTATGCTATGGTCGCTCACAACAAAGAAGAAACATTTGTTTTGTAACCATGGATATGAGATGTCTGAGAAAGGCTGCATGAGGGACCAGAGCCATCATACTCTTTCATATGTAGCATATGTCATATGTATGTGATTGTTGCATGTATTTGAGAAGCCCAAAACATAACAAGAATTAGAAAAAAAATATATTTACCTCTAAGCTGCCAAAGTCAAACCCTGCACCAGAATCTCTTTTGGAAATGAGCTCCACAAACATTACAATGGCTTCATTTTGAAAGGTTTGGATCTTGAATTCAGCACTTAGATTTTGTTCTCGACTACCACTAGCCCACCTTAACATAGAAGAGGACCTGTGGATTGCAGGTGTAAAGACATGATTAAGCAATTATTATGTCATCAATTTTGAGACCTGCTTACTCTTTGAGTTCCAGTCAACACCTGACCCTTGGTCACTCCAAAGACAACATACCTTTGTTTTAACTCTTCGGTAATAGATAATTGCAACATTAATTCACTTATTAACATTGTTAGATTAACTCTTTATGTCCCTTGTTTTGTGTGTGGTTTTTTATGGGGGGGAGGGAGGGGGGGGGGGGGGGTTGTTCTGCATGGCTCACGGAGACCCTCCTAACATTTAAGACTTCCAGGGATAGATCGAGTTAAAGTTTAAATGCCTGTGACAGAAACAGTTCAAACAGTTTGTGTTACAACTGACTTGCACAGAATATCACCAGACTTCATAACTGCCCAGTCTCTTCCTAAATGGGACCCATGGTGATGTAGTGGGGAGTACTTGACTGCTGACCCAAAAGTCTTGGGTTTGAATCCACTGAGAGGTGATTTTATTTTTTAAATGAACTTGGCTCCAAGGTTGACAGTCTAAAATAGGTACTGGGTAATGTCCTGGGAAGAGAAGGTGGCAGGAGAAGGTGGTGTCCCAGTATACCTGTATGCCTTGGAGAAAATATCCAAATGACACTAACAACCCTGGGCCTATGGAATATCTGTTACTGTGCATGGAATATGTTCATCTCAAGCATGGTAAAGTAAAGATCCCTTTTCACGCCTTTCGGCGCATCGGGCATATGGGAAGAGCGTCCCATATTTTTACAGACCATCAGCACTCGGTGGGTAATGTGGTCAGCATTACGCCGGCTGTCTTTACTTTCCCAGGACAGCCAAGCATGGTTCATGAGTCAATTAAAATGAAAATATGTGCGTGCAGCTGGTTCACATGCCAGCAGAAAGTTGCAGTGACTCCATGGCTTACTTTATCAAATCAACCAATAATCAAATGTTAACATACATCAAGATTTTCTGTTTGTTTACTATTGTCAAGAGCAGGCTATGAGGAGAATTGAGTCCTCTGGGGAAGTATTACACCATTAAAACAGATTTTAAATTATGTTCTCAGATCCCAAGTAGGCTCGATATAAAAATGAGTACCAGGAAAGTAAGAAGTAAAAGTGGTCAATACTGACCACAGCACCCAATGAATACCAGCTGGTCTCTCCAAATTTAGCATGATATGTCCTTTACAGAATATCATGGAGAAAAAAAAAAGGAAAGATCCCTTTTCACACCTTAAGCGCATCGGGCATATGGGAAGAGGATCCCATATTTTTACAATCGGCACTAGGTGGGTGATGTGGTCAACATTAGGCCAGCCGTCTTTACTTCCCCAGCAAAACCATCCTGGTACCCATTTTAGACTGGGTCGACCTGCAAAGCCCTATACCATGATAAAAATCTGAACATCAAAGAAGATTGGTTAATAAACAGCATCTTGTCTTGTAGGCTGAAATATTTTGGACATATCAAGCACCACAACAGATTGGAAAAAATAACAGCAGAAGGCATGGTACCAGGAGGGAGGGACAGGGGTCGACCAACATAAAGATGGGCACAGGATATAAGTGACCCCTTGAGTAAGAAAGTACATGAGGAGGGAGAGCTGGCAAGAGACCGAGTTTCTTTCAAGCAGACTGTGATGAGAGCCATGATTTACAAAGGACTGGCTACAAAATGATGATGCCCTTTGCATCTCAAGGCATGAAAATTAGTACTTTATTTACTACAAAAACACTAGATTCTATGAGGCAATTGTTCCCAAGGTTCCTTGCTGGATACAAAATCAGATTATTTAAAGTTAGAGCCGGATGCTACAACTCTGAGCCACTCACATCTAAATACTGCTATGCATTAAGTCCATGATTCTGTTCTTTCTAAACACACAAACCAGTGTCTCTTAAAGGTGCACTTAACAAACTTCCTGTACTTTGCAACTGCCAAGATCATACAAATAAGCCAGCAATAAATGGTATAATCTACCGTTTGTGTCTTCTTTGATTGAACGCCTAGGTCGTTAATACTCTAAAAACTCTAAAACAGTGCCTATGTATGAATGTCTTTCCCCTAACAAACATTATTTATATATTTTAAGTAGTCTTCATGTATCTCTCCCTGCGTTGTTGCCTTCACTCATTCCACAAATTAATAACTCTTCACACCAATGGATTTAATTTCACTTTTCGCATTCCCCGACATCTATAAATAGTTCTACCTGCTTCCTTTCTTTTCTTTATAGAATTCAAAGCAGTCCAGGTAAGTATCACATACTCTAATTCTGTCGCTTTCTTTCATTTCTTTTCACAATATTTACATTTCTAATGTAGTAATTTCAGACTCAGATGTGTGTGTGTGTGTGTGTGTGTGTGTGTGTGTGAGTGTGTGTGTGTGTGTGTGTGTGTGTGTGTGAGTGTGAGTGTGTGTGTGTGTGTGCGTGTGCGTGTGCGTGTGCGTGTGCGTGTGCGTGTGTGTGTGTGTGTGTGTGTGCGTGTGCGTGCGTGCGCAAGAATGCATGTGCATTCGCGCATGTACACGTTTGAGTGCTATGTTTTAATACTTGTCTGATGAAAGCTAATTGCAGCACCATCCTTTGTTAGCTCATTGTAACTGGTTAAAACTCTCATATTGTTGATGTTTTCTCATATTTTCTTTACCTACTTTTTATGGCTCTGGATGTTGTGGGTTCAATGCAGCACTCATTCTTTTTTGTTCGTGAGTGCAACTGTTTTGGAAATCCTTGGATGTTATTTACTGTAGCTTTGGAGTTTGTGCTATGCAACATAATCACCGGTGATGCAATATAAAATTTATATTTCTAAGTTTGCATAGACTCAAACCAGAATCAGTACCTATTCTAATGCTATATAATTGAAGCATTCCTATTCCAGTTGCAACAACAAAAAACTTACCTAGGAAATGAAATTGGCACTTCTGAAACCTTCTCACAGCCATACTTTGGACTTTGGCCACCATGATATGAACATCTACTGTTTCCATTGGACAGCTCATACAATACTGACACATCACTGATGTAGACATTCCGCAAGCAACCAACAAAACTCTGGGTTACTGGAAGTCCTGTGAGGAAACAGACAAGCAGTTTACATCAACAAAACTCTGGGTTATTGGAAGTTCTGTGAGAAAACAGACAAGTAGTTTACATCCACAAAACTCTGGGTTACTGGAAGTCCTGTGAGAAAACAGACAAGTAGTTTACATCAACAAAACTCTGGGTTACTGGAAGTTCTGTGAGAAAACAGACACGTAGTTTACATCCACAAAACTCTGGGTTACTGGAAGTCCTATGAGAAAACAGACATTTAGTTTACACCAACAAAACTCTGGGTTACTGGAAGTCCTGTGAGAAAACAGACAAGTAGTTTACATCAACAAAATCAAAATGTTGTTGTTTATTCATAACAAGTGATTGTGTTAGTCGTTTTATCACTAAGTAAATGAAAGGAAGACAGGACAATGAATAGGATATTAGTGAGGAAGGACTGCACAGTTCAGTGACCTCACACTCTGCCCTAGATCTATTTAATTACCAGCCTCACCAACACTGGATTACCTGTTGATTTATAACTGTTTTAACATGCCTCAATATCACTAACTGATACATGTTTGAACAAGGTTTCCGAGATTTTTACCTGTCTAATTCTCATCCTTGAGATCTTAATCCTAAAGACTGCAATCATGGTGGGGGAAAAGTCCCGGAAAAAGTCCATGATACATTCTTCGGTATAGAATGTCACTGACTCCTGGTATGGGTTCTGGAGCCCCACTGTTGGGAAAACAAGAATAGACCTACTGGGTCCCCAGCAAGCATGACGTCACAGTGGAAATTCCTTAGAAGTCGGAGAACATCTGCCCGAGAGGCAAAGAACAAACAACTGCACACAAGTAAGCCAGTAAAACAGATGTACACGCAAAGCTCAGACCCTGTCACAAAACCAAAGTCTAAATGGACGAACAACCAAGACTTTTCGCCGGAGCTTACGGCTGGTGAACAAAGAAGAAGTAGAATATCACGGACTGTATTGCATGGAGGAGGAAACAAGGGAAATAAGGAGAAAGAAGAATGTGACTGCCAAGGTTGAATGCTGAGAGTCTAAGGGGGAAAAAACCCAGGTCAAATACACATGATGGTAACAACCGTACTTAACTCCCTTGCTTTTACTGTGGGAGACTTCTTTACGGACGCTTGCCTGCGGATCGGAGGGTCGTGGGTTCAGGTCCGGCCTCTTTTTTTCTTCAAAAATGACTTTGGTTCACAGCCTTGAGTGGATACCTAGCGGAACTCCTGGGAAGTAAAGGCGACCGGCGTGATGCTGACCATATGACCAACCGAGTGCCGATTCATCTATGAAATATATGGTCTAGCCCTATATGCCCAATACGCCTGAAGGCGCAGAGAGGAGTCCTTTACATTTACTTGACTGTGCTTAACGCCAGCGGTCTCGTTAGTGACACTCGTCACCACCACGGAGGGTGATAGTCTTGCCTCCTTGTAGCACAATGTAACGATGTCGTATGGCAAGACGAAAATGTGCCTCTTGTAAATGTAAGACAGTTGACAGAAAGAGAAACAGAGATTATGAGAAAGATTTAGAATGCGTCTGCATATGTGCATTCATACGCGCGTGTGTGTGTGACCGTACAAGTGGGATCACTAAAGGAAAAACTTTTATCTTTTTCCCTCAACAAGTGTGTATTGTGCAAATGAAGTAATAATCGATAATCAACGAATTTAAAGATGTTTTGGCCTTACATCTGATTAAACAACCGACTGTACGTCAAAGGAATTAGCTTCTGCAGTGGAGATGTCAACAAGTTCACAGGAATTCATGTTTTTTTTTTCTTTAAAATATTCTGGTTGGAGTCTCGAAGATGAGAGGGAGGATGGGAAGAAAGACAACGACGAGAATGCTGGGGAGAGGATGTGGAAGAAGAAGAAGAAGAAGAAGAAGAAGAAGAAAGAAGAAGAAGAAGAAGAAGAAGAAGAAGAAGAAGAAGAAGAAGAAGAAGAAGAAGAAGAAGAAGAAGAAGAAGAAGAAGAAGAGAAGAAGAAGAAGAAGAAGAAGAAGAAGAAGAAGAAGAAGAAGAAGAAGAAGAAGAAGAAGAAGAAGAAGAAGAAGAAGAAGAAGAGAAGAAGAAGAAGAAGAAGAAGAAGAAGAAGAAGAAGAAGAAGAAGAAGAAGAAGAAGAAGAAGAAGAAGAAGAAGAAGAAGAAGAAGAAGAAGAAGAAGAAGAAGAAGAAGAAGAAGAAGAAGAAGAAGAAGAAGAAAGAAGAAGAAGAGAAGAAGAAGAAGAAGAAGAAGAAGAAGAGAAGAAGAAGAAGAAGAAGAAGAAGAGAAGAAGAGAAGAAGAAGAAGAGAAGAAGAAGAAAGAAGAAGAAGAAGAAGAAGAGAAGAAGAAGAAGAAGAAGAAGAAGAAGAAGAAGAAAGAAGAAGAAGAAGAAGAAGAAGAAGAAGAAGAAGAAGAAGAAGAAGAAGAAGAAGAAGAAGAGAAGAAGAAGAAGAAGAAGAAGAAGAAGAAGAAGAAGAAGAAGAAGAAGAAGAAGAAGAAGAAGAAGGAAG